ATTACAGACGTGAGCCACCGTGCCCGGCCTTGTAAGATAAATTTCTAAAAGTAGAATTTCTATTAGGGAATTTATAGGTCAAAGAGGATAGTGATTTATATTTTGACAGATGCTATGGCTTAAATGTCTGTCCCTGTCTAAGCTCATGTTGAAACTTAATCCCCAGTGTGGTAGTATTGAGAGGTGGAGACTTTAATAGGCGATTGGGTAATGAGGGCTCTGCCTTCATTAATGGATTAATCCATTCATGGATTAATGGGTCATCAGGGGAGTGGCTTTACATGAAGAGGAAGAGAAACCTGAACCAGCACCCAGTCCCCTGGCCATGTGATGTCCTGCGCTACCTCAGGACTCTGCAGAGAGTGTGGTTGTGTAAGTGGAAAGGGACCTCACACCTTTCACAAAACATAACTCAAAGTGATCGTAGACCTACCTAAATGTAAAATGCAAAACTAGAAAACTTCTACAAGATAACATAGCAGAGAACCTAGATGACATTCGGTCTGGAGATAAGTTTTTATGTGCAACACCAAAAGCCAGATCTGTGACAGAACTGCGTGGGGCATCTCTGTTCTCTAAGTGATAAGTGGATCCAGGCATCTGCAGACCCAGGAGCCACACTGGGGAGTCTGCACCGCGGCCTGGAGACAGGCGGTGCCAGGAGCGAGTCAACCAGAGGCCCTGCTGCTTCCAGGCTTGCACAGCTGGGCACGCGGCTTTCCTTCCACAAGACTCCTGAGCAGGAGACAGAAACGAGTCCTGACGACCATCCATACGTGTCTCTCATCGCCTTAAGACTTTGAAACACAAAAAACTGTAATATCATAATTTTCATTTTATTATTGCTTGTTAGTTGGTTAAAACAATGCATTCTGCTTCCATTTACCTTATTTTAAAGGGACTGATTGCTACACTAAATGAAATCATAATTAAATTTCATGACAGGTATTTATTAACGTTTGATTATTTTCTACACAGAAGCATGAGAAGAGCTTAAAATCCAAATCCAATTTCATTCGGTTCACCCTTGACTGTAACAAAGGACTCTGTGAAGAGGAGAAGCGGTGTTTATGGGCTGAAGTCCCAGCAGCTGCTTAGTGGCAGAGTCCCAGTCTTTACCCAATTCAAGCCGTGGGCAGATAGATGGATACTGTCCCTCAGTTCTTCTTACCCATTCATTCGCCTTCTTTATTGCCTCGAAATCCCAGGGAATATTCCTAGGGTAAAAAGAATGTTTCCATTGAGTTTGGAATATAATTATATGTGAAAGGTAATGAGTTACTAAATCTATCACATTATATTGGACAAAATGACTCTGTCAAAAATTAAGATATTTAACACATTAACTGCCGTGTGAGTTGTATTTAGTTTTGCGCCCGGGGCCTCGTGAAGCATATGCAACTCACAGGTATCTTTACCTTGGGAGCCACGTGAACTACTTTTTAAGTTGCATATAACTCACACACAGAAAACAATAAAAAAAATAACAAATTTTTCATTAAATTAGAAAGGATCGTTTTGTTTCAAAATTTTATTCTATTTTCATAATAAAACACCGTGGCCCCAAGGAAAAAAATTTTTTTCTAGTGTGGCAGTCAAGGTGTTAATAAAAGCAGTTCTCCTTGACATCTTAAGAACGTTCTTCTTTCTACCAGTCTGACTGCTTGAGCTTACTCTCTGCATTGCCAAGTGTAATCACTCCCCGGCTTCCACGTGCCACTTCCAGGACAACTCAAGCATTGTTGTCCCCGTCTACTCTTCTGGATCTAAATCCACTCTTCTTCAAGCACAAACTCAAGTTCTACTTTACAAATTAGGCTGCTGTTTTTCTCTCTCTCCTTTTTGTTGTACTAGGATTTCTCAGCTTGATCAAGGGCTTGCAGAATCTCTGAGAATCTCCTATGAAACTGGTGTACATTTACTCGTGTAACATAAACCGGGAACAACTTATTAGTAAAACGTGCATAACATATAAACATCAAGTTTGTGTCCACAAAATGATGTGGACACAAATGAATATTCAAGACTGTCAAATATTCATGTCTATTTAAGATTCTGAAAAATTCTGAGATTTTTCATTAATATTAACTAACTACCTCCTTGTTTGTTCTGTAATCTACTAGAATGTATATGTGAACACCTAGCAACATACACCAAAGTTTTAAAATTCTATGCAGGGGCTGGGGGACTTAACATTTTGAAGATTTCCTCCATGCTCCCAATTTTTTCCTGTAACCTGGGAAAGGGCCCTCAGTACAGTGTGGTGGCTGACAGCTGGGTTTGAATTCGTACTGCAACCACACAGTGCTGGCTGAGCGACACTGCAACTTCATTCAGTGCTGGGAGTCTCCGATTCCTCAATGATGATAACATGAGGTCTTATAGGTTTGTTGTGAGAACTAATAAAACTCACGGATTTAAGATGCTTAACAGACCCTGGCACAGAGCAAACACTCGGTGTTGGCTGAATGTTGTGATGAAATGAACATATGAAATGATGAGCACGCCTAAAGTGTTTAAAAGACTGGCACTTCCCAATAATTATGAGTGTACTTATAGTTACTAATTGCTGAAAGCAACAGAACTGATTTTAAGTATTTTCACTAATTCAGCTGGCTTTTTTTTTTTTGAGGCAGAGTCTCACTCTGTTGCTTGGGCTAGAGTGCTGTGGCGTCAGCCTAGCTCACAGCAACTTCAAACTCCAGGGGTCAAATGATCCTCCTGCTTCAGCCTTCTGGGTAGCTGGGACTATAGTCACATGCCACTGTGCCCAGCTAATTTTTTCTATTTTTGGTTGTTTGGCTAATTTCTTTCTATTTATATTAGAGACGGGGTCTTGCACTTGCTCAGGCTGGTCTCGAACTCCTGAGCTCGAGCAATCCTCCCGCCTTGACTTCCCAGAGTGCTAGGATCACAGGCGTGAGCCACCATGCCCAGCCTCAACTGGCCTTCTATTAGTCCAGTTGGCCTCTAAACTTTTTGGTTGACCATCTAACTAGGAGGAAAATCTTGCTTATATACCCTGATGTAATGTGCATCTTGAAACAGAATTTATAGGGGAAAAAAATTTTAAACAGATGATAAATAGGAAATAAAAATATATAACATAGTTTTGTCTTATTTATTAACATACCACCAAACCATTTTACTCACACAATAGCAGTAATATAGTAAGAGCAATATGCTGGAATATACTTCATCAATTTTGGGAATCTTAGTTTTACTACTTTGTGATGATCACAGTTCAAAAGCAGGTTGGAAGTTAATCCTTGTTCTTTCTAATGGCTGTCAGAGTTGGGAAAACTCTACATAGAAGGACCTCATTGGATGTGCCCATTAAATCAAATACTAATTTGTTTAGTCTCATCCATTAGTTGTTCAAAGTGGTTTTTCTTGATATTTATTTAATAAATTCCCACCTTTTTCAAGGAGTTGTTTTGGCAAATGAAAGAGGTGCTGCTTTTTAAAACATGGAGGTATACATTACATACAATGAAATGTTCAATTCAGAATTTTCTGAGTACCTACTTTACGTTTGATGCTATTGGGAATAAAGAATTTAATCAGTCTTTATGAGAGGCTAAAAATAGTTGTACTTATTTATTTTAATTTTACCTGTAAACATGTATCTTGAGAGATAAGAATTACTTTTAAACATGTCACTTAAAAATAGTTATCAATAGGGAGGCTTGTGCCTGCGGCCTGCGGACGCGTCCGTCTCTGATGAAGGCGCAGGCAGTGGCCACGACCTCTGGGCTGGGACGGTACACGCTCCTGGTGGAAGCAGGGAGCCAAGCCCGAACCATGGCCGGTACAGTGGTAGCCGTCTGACTGATCACTGCTGCTGTAGGATTTGCAGGCCGTTATGTTTTGCAAGCCATGAAGCATATGGAACCTCAGGTAAAACAAGTTTTTCAAAGTCTACCAAAATCTGCCTTCGGTGGTGGCTATTACAGAGGTGGGTTTGAACCCAAAATGACAAAACGGGAAGCAGCATTAGTACTAGGTGTAAGCCCTACTGCCAATAAAGGAAAAATAAGAGATGCTCATCGATGAATTATGCTCTTAAATCATCCAGACAAAGGAGGATCTCCTTATATAGCAGCCAAAATCAATGAAGCTAAAGATTTACTAGAAGGTCAAGCTAAAAACTGAAATAAATGTATGATGAATTTTAAGTTCATATTAGTTTATGTATATGAATACCAACTTTTAATAATAAAATACCTCAGAGCTACAGTTTTTAAAAACATTTTAGCATAAAAAAATAGTTATCAATAATTCTTTGATTATCTCATCATTTTTTTTTTTTTTTTTTTTTTGAGACAGAGTCTCGCTTTGTTGCCCAGGCTAGAGTGAGTGCCATGGCGTCAGCCTAGCTCACAGCAACCTCAAACTCCTGGGCTCAGGCAATCCTGCTGCCTCAGCCTCCCAGTAGCTGGGACTACAGGCATTCGCCACCATGCCCGCTAATTTTTGTATATATTAGTTGGCCAATTAATTTCTTTCTATTTATAGTAGAGACGGGGTCTCGCTCTTGCTCAGGCTGGTTTCGAACTCCTGACCTTGAGCAATCCGCCCGCCTCGGCCTCCCAGAAAGCTAGGATTACAGGCGTGAGCCACCGCGCCCGGCCAATCTCATCATTTTTTAATACAGTGGGTTTTCAAATCTGGATCTAAACAAGGTCTACCCTGGCTTTGGTTAATACATCTTTTGAGGTTACTTACAGGTTCCACCTGCCCTGGCTTTTTTCTCTTACCATTTACTTTCTCACATCACAGACTTCGGTGATTGCACGTCCATGGTGTAATTTAATATGTTCCTCTATTCTCTCACCTAATTCAAGTTTAGGATTCAGGAGGCTTCACTTAACTTCTTTGATTTTATACATCTTAGTTCCTAACAATATTAATATCTATCTATCTTCCAAAGTAACAAAATCAGCGGTACTCACTATAAGAATTCTTTGCAATTCTTCTCACCCTTAGGTGCTATTCCACTGGGGAGGTACAGTCAGATTATGTACTGTGTTTTAAAGTCACCTTAAATCATTCCTCTTTGGGTGGTTAAGCCACCAACTTGATTTATAGTTAGATTTGTTTCATTTTGCTTCCTACTTTTAGGGATTACTTGTTTATCTATTTGCTTAAACATTTTTTGCTTTTTCTTTACAGATGGGGTCTTGTTCTGTCACCCAAGCTGGAGGGCAGTAATGCGATCACAGCTCACTGCAACCTCAAACTCTTGGGTTCAAACCATCCTCCTTTTGTTTTTGTGGAGACAGGGTCTCACTATGTTGCTCAGACTGGTCTCAAACTCCTGGCCTCAAGCTATCCTCCTACCTCAGACTCCCAAAATGCTAGGATTACCTCGGTGAGCCAACATGCCTGGCCTATTTGAGTTTGAACTTTATACATTATTATGCAACAATTTTTTTCAGACAGAGTCTCACTCTGTCCCCCAGTTAGAGTGCAGTGGTGTCATCATAGCTCACTGCAGCCTCAAACTCCCAGGCTCAAGCGATTCTCCTGCCTCAGCCTCCCAAGTCTGGGACTACAGGTGCAGGCCACCACACCTGGCTAATTCTTCTATTTTTCTGTAGAGACCAGGGTGGGGGGTTGTCTTGCTGTTGCTTACCCCTGGCCTCAAGAGATCCTCCCACCTTGACCTCCCGGAGTGTTAGGATTACAGGTGGTGAGCTACCACACCTGGCCAATTATTATGTAAAATACTTACATAGAGTTCCAAAGTTAAAACTGCAAAACAAAGTAAATTAGGAGAAATCTAGCCCTGCCATTATTGGGAACAGGCCTGGTCCCAACAATCATATGGTGGTTGGCCTGGCGCAGTGGCTCACGCCTGTAATCCTAGCACTCTGGGAGGCCAAGGCGGGTGGATTGCTCGAGGTCAGGAGTTCGAAACCAACAATAATATGGAGAATCTTCCAAAAGCACACGGGATCAATGTGTTGTAGTGACGACAAGTACCAAGTCAGGAGCCAGGAGAGCCATGCTCTCATAAGCCACAGGTAACCCCCTGAACCCCAGTCTTCCTGTGCAGCCTCAGGCAAAAACGTTGTCAGCTCTGCCTCCCTCAGGGGATTGTGGGCAAGCTGCTACCTGTGAATACTTACAACATAGCAAATACATGTGAGGTAATTCCCCGATAGCTGCTTGTAAGGTTTAAGAAATGGTTGAAAATATAAATGAGCTGCTTAATACTGCAGTTAAAGGCACCTGGAAATGGAAGCAGCGTCATCCAATTTCATCAGTGATTTGAAGACTATTCCCTTGTGTTCCAACCTGGTTCGAAGAAACTGTAGCACTAGCAATGTGGCAATTAGGTCCAGGAGACATTCTCTTCCTTTTATACCTAAAAGGGGAAAAAAACTCCTTTATGTCTGCTGGAAACTCTGCATCTCAAACTGTGCCTGTTTATACAATTTCCATTAAAGAATTATACTACAGTTAAGCCATAATACATTAGCAGATCATCAAACTCTGTAATACTCTTCCAAGGCTAATTAAGGTCCCTAGTTAGCCTGCTATCTAAATAAAAGATGGAACATGTGCCTATCGTGTTATCCTGACAGTTGTTAGGAAGCTGAGCTGTATCCAGTGCGCCCTCCCTTGCCATTGTCAACAACCAGAGCAGCTGTGCCGCACGATGGGAAAAATGCCAATTTCTAGGCTTGGAAGAGTCAACCTAAATATACAATGGCAAACAACAGGTATGACTGATTATGCCAATCTGTCAAATTACTTCTAGTGATTAGTACCAACAGGTATCCAAATCAAGATATTTTACTGTATTACAACATATCAAAATTAAAAAAATGAATGTTTACATATATTGAACTCAGAAATTAACCCATTTTTATTTTTTAAAATGCAAGTCATCTTTGAAATTTTTATATACAAAAATTAGTTTTGAAATACTCTTATTTTTCCAAGTGCACATTTCATGAAACCAATTGTATTCTAAGTCTCCACGTCTATCTTCACCGTCATTAGGGCCACAGTGAGCCATCTGATGGTTTTCCAGGTGAATCATCTTTATTTCCACCGAAGATGTTTGATGGCCGGCACTGCTGTATCACTACAACATGTAAAGCCATGTCGCCACTTAGCGCTGTGGCTCTTTGGTTATGAGACATTTCAAGCATAAGGAAAGGAGTATGATTAACGTCCCATCCACTGCCCAGCTCATCACTCCAAACACTTTCCTACATCTGCTTCAAAGACTTTTCTTTAAAAGAAAGACGGTATCACAAAGATGAAGCCTCCCCTGTATAAGTGCCCCAACCCACCCTCCACCCTCACCTTCTCAAAGAAAGACACTGGCTGGAGCAGTGGCTCAGGCCTGTAATCCTAGCACTCCGGGAGGCCGAGGCAGGAGGATTGTGTGAACTCAGGAGTTCGAGACCAGCCTGAACAAGAGCGAGACCCCGTCTCTACTAAAAATAGAAAGAAATTAGCTGGACAACTAAAAATATACAGAAAAAACTAGCAGGGCATGGTGGCACATGCCTATAGTCCCAGCTACGTGGGAGGCTGAGGCAGAAGGATTGCTTGAGCCCAGGAGTTTGAGGTTGCTGTGGGCTAGGATGATGCCACAGCACTCTAGTCTGGGCAACAGAGTAAGACTCTGTCTCAAAAAAAAAAAAAAAAAAAAAAAGGAAAGAAAGAAATTCCTGTATTGAAAGATAAATCAAACATGTTAAAATGTTAGCATCTAGGGAAACTGGGTGAAGGATATATGGAAAATCTTCATACCATTCTGCAACTTTAAAATTATTTCAAAATACAAAGTCTAAAAATTCTCCTTAACTTAGAATCATAAAGAAATTTTCCCTAAAAGTTTTTCTTTTCTTTTTGTTTTTTTTTTTGGGGGGGGGTGGGGGCGGTCAGGGTCTCAGTCTGCTGCCCAGGCTATAGTGCCATGGTGCAATCACAGCTCACTGCAGTCTCAAACACCTGGGCTCAAGTGGTCCTCTTGCCTCAGCCTCCCAAGTGGCTGGGGCTACAGGTGTGCACCACAAAGCCTGGCTAATCTTTTTTATATATTTTTAGAGATGAGGTCTCGATAGATATTTTGCTCAGGCTGGTCTCAAACTCCTGACCTCAAGCTATCCTCCTGCCTCAGCCTTCCAAAGTGCTAAGATCGCAGGTATGAGCCACCATAGCCAGCCTAATAAAGTATTTTCTAATGAAAAGTCATGAAGATTACTCCTCCTTTCTTCTAAGAGCTGTACAGTTTTCATTCTAACATTTATAAGAAAGGGATCCAACTTCATTCTTTTGCAGATGGATATTCAGTTTTCTCAGCACCATTTGTCGAAAGAACTGTTCTTTTACTCACTGAATTGTCTTGACACCCTTGTCAAAAATCAATGGACCCATTCTGGGTCTCTGCATCTCCGCATGAATTTTAGGATCAACTTATCAATTTCTGCAAAATGATAATCTGGGATTTTGATAGGGATTGCATTGAATAAGTAGGTCAATTTTGGAGATTTGTATTGTTTTCCAATCCATGATGTCTTCCATTTATATGGATCTTTTTTAATTTCTTTCAAAAATGTTTTGTGGTTTTCAGTGTACAAGTCTTACCTTTTTTGTTGTTGTTGTTCTCAGTTATTACATGAAAGTTTTGCCTTTCTTTTGCTAAATTTATTCCTGTTTTATTCTTTTTGATACTATTATAATCCTTGCCAGATTTTGTTATCAAATTATGCTAGTAAAATGAACTGTATTCTCCTATTTTTCTTATATTTTGTGATATTTTATGTTAGATTAGAATTATCTATTCCTTGAATGTTTAGTAGAATGTGGGGATAAAACCTCTTGGCCTAGTGTTTCCTTTTTGGGAAGATCTTAAATTTCAATTTTCTTAATTGGCTATAGAATTATCTGGGCTTTGTACTTCTTGAGCTGTATTTTGTAAATTATATTTTTCTACAGATTCATCTAAATTATGAAATTTATTGGCCTGGCCGGGAGTGTTGGTTCATGCCTGTAATCCCAGCACTTTTTTTGGGAGGTTTAGGCGGGAGGATTGCTTGAGCCCAGGAGTTTGAGATCAGTCTGGGCAATATGTTGAGATCCCATCTCTACAAAAAATAAAAAAATTAGCTTGATGTGCACCATGAAGCTACTGGAAGGCTGAGGCAGGAGGATCACTTGAGCCCAGGAGTTTGACATTGCCATGGACTATGACTGCACCACTGCACTCCAGCCTGGGCAACACATCAAGGCCCTGTCTCTAAAAAAATAGATAAATAAAAATGAAATAAAATTTATTGACATAATGTTCATAAGAGCTCATTATTTTTTAAATCTCTCTACTACCTGTAGTAAATATCTCCTTTTATTCTTGGTATTGTTTATATATGCCTTCTTTTGCTCTGTCATATAAAAAATGTGTCATTTTTTATTAATCTTTTTAAAAATCTGACTTCTCTGTTCTTCCTTTTTTTCTCTTATCCACAAAGAATGTTTTTCAATTTAGTTAATTTCTGTTCTTATCATTGTAAGAGTGGGTTTCTATTTCTATTGTTCTTCTTTTTCTTTTTCGAGACAGAGTCTCGCTTTGTTGCCCAGGCTAGAGTGAGTGCTGTGGCGTCAGCCTAGCTCACAGCAACCTCAATCTCCTGGACTCAAGCAATCCTCCTGCCTCAACCTCCCGAGTAGCTGGGACTACAGGTATGTGCCACCATGCCCGGCTAATTTTTTTTCCTATATATATTAGTTGGCCAATTAATTTCTTTCTATTTACAGTAGAGACTCCTGAACTCGAGTGATCCGCCCCGCCTCGGCCTCCCAGAGTGCTAGGATTACAGGTGTGAGCCACTGCGCCCGGCCTTTATTGTTCTTCTAATTTAGATTTATCTTACTGATTTTCAATATTTCTTCTTTTCTAATAAAAATTAATTAAGTAAAGATATAAATTTCCTTCTAGGTACAATAATGCTTTTCTTTTTTTGTTTGTTGGTTTAAGAGACAGAGTCTTGCTCTGTTGCCCATGCTGGAGTGCAGTGGCCATTCACTGGCGTGCTCACAGAATGCTAGCTCACTGCAGCCTCGACTCCTGGCTCAAGTGAGCCTCCCACCTCAGCCTCCTAAATAGCTGGGATATAGGTAAGTACTGCTTTAACTGGAACCCAAAGGTTTGATATGCATATTTTGGGTAGAACTCATATATTTTCCTTCATTTTTAAAGCATCTGTTTTGCTGAATATAGAATTTTTAGTTTACAGGGTTTTTTCTTTCAGTATTTTAGAGAGATTATTACATTATCTTCTAGCTTTCATTATCTCTTTTTTTTTTTTTTTTTTTTTTGGAGAAGAGTCTCACTTTGTTGCCAGGCTAGAGTGAGTGCCTGGGCGTCAGCCTAGCTCACAGCAACCTCAAACTCCTGGGCTCAAGTGATCCTCCTGCCTCAGCCTCCCTAGTAGCTGGGACTACAGGCATGCGCCACCATGCCCGGCTAATTTTTCTATGTATATTAGTTGCCAATTAATTCTTTTTATTTATAAGTAGAGGCGGGTCTTGCTCTTGCTCAGGCTGGTTTGAACTCCTGACCTTGAGCAATCCACCCGCCTTGGCCTCCCAGAGTGCTAGGATTACAGGCGTGAGCCACCGCACCCGGCCCATTACCTCTTATTCTTACACATGTTCTCCTGAATGTAACATGTCCTTTTTCTCTGGCTGCTTTTTTTTTTTTTTTTGAGACAGAGTCTCGCTTTGTTGCCCAGGCTAGAGTGAGTGCTGTGGCGTCAGCCTAACTCACAGCAACCTCAAACTCCTGGGCTCAAGCAACCCTCCTGCCTCAGCCTCCCAAGTAGCTGGACTACAGGAATGTGCCACCATGCCCGGCTAATTTTTTCTATATATATTAGTTGGCCAATTCTTTTTATTTATAGTAGAGACGGGTCTCGCTCTTGCTCAGGCTGGTTTCAAACTCCTGACCTCGAGCAGTCCGCCTGCCTCGGCCTCCCAGAGTGCTAGGATTACAGGCATTAGCCACCGCGCCCGGCCTCTCTGGCTGCTTTTAAGATTTATCTTTGGCTTTCAGCAGTTTGACTCTGATCTCCCTAAATGTGGTCTTTTTGGTGTTTATCCTGTTTGGAGGATAAACTGGAGATCTGCTGAGTTTCTCAGACCTGTAAGTTGATGTCTTTTATCAATTTCAGAAAAAATTCAGTCAGTATTTATTCAAATATTTTTCTGTCACCCTTCTGGAACCACATCACACACGTTAAGCCTTTTGGTATCATTCCACAGGTCTTAGATCTTCTGTTCTTTTTTTATTCTATTTTTTCTCTCTATGCTGGATACTTTTATTGAGTTTACTATATTATAATTTGAATTAAATGATCTTTTTTTCCTGTTGTGTCCATTCTACTATTAAGCCCATCCAATGATCTTTTCATTGCAGATACTGCATTTTCCAGTTCTAAAATTTTTATTTGGTTCTTTCTTACAGTTTCCATCTATTTCCATCTATTCCATCCCACCTATTCACCCACTCTGTCCTCCTTTTCTGGTAAATCAATCCTTCACTATACTTATGATAGCAATTTTAAAGTCCAGGCCTGCTAATTCCAACATCTGGGCCATCTATAGGTCAGCATCTACACACCACTTTTTTCTCTTGTTGACAAGTCATATTTTCCTGTTCCTTCATATGTTATTAAATTTTCATTCTATAACGACCGTTAAAGATAATGTCTTCACGCCTATAATCCTAACACTCTGGGAGACTGAGGAGGGAGGATCGCTTGAGCTCAGGAGTTGGAGACCAGCCTGAGCAAGAGCGAGACCCCATCTCTACTAAAAAATAGAAGGAAATTAATTGGCTGACTAAAAAAATATATACAGAGAAAAAATTAGCTGGGCATGGTGGTGCATGCCTATAGTCCCAGCTACTCGGGAGGCTGAGGCAGGAGGATCGTTTGAGCCCAGGAGTTTGCTGTGAGCTAGGCTGATGCCATGGCACTGTAGCTGGGGCAACAGAGTGAGACTCTGTCTCAAAAAAAAAGATACCATCTTATAGAGAGTCTCTATTATGCTATCCTACTCAGTTTTGTTCCAGCAGATTCTGTGAAGGCTCTGCTTTAGGCTTTGTTAGGGTGGGCCTGTTTTGATTTTTCAAAAATCTGTACTGTGGGGTACAGTCCTTGATCATAGATATGGTCACATGACCCTTTTATGGTTTCAGTGAAAAGACATTTGTAAACTCTAATTTGGAGCTACTGGAAGTCCAAACTCTGTCACCCCAGCACTTGGCAGCAGCTGGAATCTCTGCTCACTCTGTAGCTTCCCAGTTGTTGTGTTTTTTCTGTATTCCTTGAGGTTCTACCCTGTGTATATGTGGGCTAGAGGAGAGCCAAGGATCTTCGGGGAATTTGGATTTGGATTCAGACCTCCCTGCTCTGTGGCTCCCTCCTTTTTAAGACTTTCACCCTTAACTTGCAGCCATTCTGGCTGCCTCAAACTCCAACCCCACGGCATGAAGACTCTCTTTTAGTTCTAACCTCCCGTGTGCCTTATGCACCGAGATGTGCCTTTAGGTGAGAAGCTGGATAAATGTGGAATTCTTCAGGTTTACTTCCCTTCCTTCAAAGATTGTGCCCTCTCCAGTTTCTGCCTATTTGGGATTGTGTTCCAGGCTTTCAAAGAGTGATTTTTAAATATTTTGCCCAGAGTTAATAACTGTTATTGGCAAGAGACTTAGCACCACTTCTCGTGCAAACTGTTACCATCCCTTTTTAGCCTAGCACAGGACAAACGGGCTGTGCATCTGCCCACCCATGCAGCCTGGCATAGGAACACCCTGACGTTGCAGGGGTGTGTCAGAGCAGCTAGACGCTACTGTTGTATTTATCCTTGACTGCTGGCTAGTTGTTTAATGTCTATTTTAGTCTTTAAAAAATCTCCTATCCCAGGGCCAGCATTTGACCTTCAAACCAATTTCTGATTCAAGGATACCCAGGACCTCCTCATCTGTCCCCTTCATTGTCACAATAAGAAACAGATCCTCTGCTCTGGCAGAGGCTGGCTAGATGCTCATCAAAGCTGTTTGCTTGTCCTGGACACAAGGCTTTTTAAAAAGTCCATTTCCCAGCCTCTTTGTACCTGGGCGGGGCTCTGTGACTAGTGCTCTTCCTCTTGTCTACCCGGATGATGCCACATGTTGAAAGGGGTGAAGCCACAATATGGAAGGAGCCAAGGTCTCCAAATGACCAATATCTGACCATGAGGCAGGTAAGAAAGTAATCTTTGATTGTGATAAACTACTGAGATTTTGTTTTGTTTCTTTACAGCAATTGGTGTTACTTATGCTAATACATTTGCGCAGACAATACTCTAACAAGTGGTAAAGATATGACAGAAACCAGTCTCCTATTTCCTTTGATGGTTAACAAATATGATTCCATTCATATATAACTTTCATACTTATTATATTAATATACTAGTTTATACAATAATTTATAACAGTTAGGAATATGCCTATGAATAAATGAAAAATGAATGAAAATAGTGACTTAATGAAAGATGGTGACTTACCTAGAGATTGAATGCCTTTTTCTTCAAGAAAGCTGTGTAAAGCATCTATATTAAGGTTTAATATAAATCCTAGTTCTGGTGTGAGTTTCCAGAAGCCATCCTATGAAATTAAGAAAACAAATTTAAGTCATGTTATTGAATTTCATCACAAAATAAGTTATGTTATGAAAAAAATGTTTCAATTTTCCAATTCAGTTAATTATTTAAAAAATGTAAAATCAAAATTCTTCATAGACTAGTGACATAGTATTGCTTGGAGTCTCATAAACACTATGGTCACTAAGTATCTGGTGGCATTTATAAAAACTCTGGAAAGAGTTTTATCTGTAGAGACTTTTAAAATGGTACTATATTTTTTTTTCTTCTGGCAGTTGCATTGCACCAATGTTTCTCAAACTTTTAACTGGCATGATCCCTTTTTTAAAAAAACTTTTTGTATGATTGACATACAAAAAGCCATATATATTTAATGTATACAACTTGATGAGTTTTTTTTTTTTTTTTTGAGACAGAGTCTCGCTTTGTTGCCCAGGCTAGAGTGAGTGCCATGGCGTCAGCCTAGCTCACAGCAACCTCAAACTCCTGAGCTCAAGCAATCCCCCTGCCTCAGCCTCCCGAGTAGCTGGGACTACAGGCATGCGCCACCATGCCCAGCTAATTTTTTCTCTATATATTAGTTAGCCAATTAATTTCTTTCTATTTATAGTAGAGACGGGGTCTCGCTCTTGCTCAGGCTGGTTTTGAACTCCTGACCTTGAGCAATCCACCCGCCTCTGCCTCCCAGAGTGCTAGGATTACAGGCGTGAGCCACCGCGCCCAGCCTTGATGAGTTTTAAGAGAAGTTCACACCCATGATACTATTAAGCCATTATCACTATTGATGCCATAAATTTATCCATCACTTCCAAAAATTTCTCTTGTTTTGCTTTGTTTCCTCTTGCGAAAAAAGCACTTAACACAAGATCTATCTCTTAGCAAATTTTTAAGTACACAATATTGTTAGCCATAGGCCCTGTGTTGTGCAGTAGATCTCTAGCATGATTCCTTTCATGCTAGAGAAAATGTACCCTCACATAGCCTGATATATGAAGATGATAATTTTTAAACTGTCTTTCCTGTGTCTCCCACCCCCTGCCTGCCCCAGCATGTAGTAGAATATGGTCAGCTTGCAAGTGGGGCTCCTGACCTTGCAGGAGACAGACCCCAGGCCTGGGGGAACTAACACAGGGAGCAAAAAGGAGGATACAGTCCTAGGCAAGGGCACAGGTGAAAGGATCCACAGCAATAATTTGAAAAATGACAGCAATGTTAATATGTGCCAACCCATATAGAACTAGATGTTGTTCTTTTATCTTTTTAGCTGCTTCTTGTGGGGGTACTATTATTATACCTGCATTGTAAATGAAGACACTGAGGCACACAAAGGTTAAGCAACATGTCAAAAGTCACACAGCGGGGGGGAGGGAGGTGGGCAATATATGTAACCTCAACACTTGTACCCCCATAATACGCTAAAAAAAAAAAAAGTCACACAGCTAGCAAGCAGCAGAGCCAGGACCATCTGCAGTACGCCCCCTAGAGGCTTTCATGTGCATTGCCTCGCCTAGGGAAGTCGGACAGCTATTATCCTGTTGAAACCTCAAAACCACTCCACAAGTAGACACCATCATTATCCCTGATATGGGATGGGGAAACTGAGCCGTAGGTTATCTGACTTGCCCATATCACAAAGTGGTAGTAAGGCTGGAGGCCAGGCACGGTGGCTCACGCCTGTAATCCTAGCACTCTGGGAGGCCAAGGTTGGCGGATCGCTCAAGGTCAGGTTCTAAACCAGCCTGAGCAAGAGCAAGATCCCGTCTCTACTAAAAATAGAAAGAAATTAAGAAATTAAGAATATATAGAAAAAATTAGCCGGGCATGGTGGCGCATGCCTGTAGTCCCAGCTACTTGAGAGGCTGAGGCAGGAGGATCGCTTGAGCCCAGGAGTTGGAGGTTGCTGGGAGCTGGGCTGACGCTACAGCACTCTACCCGGGCAACAGAGTGCTACTCAGCTTCCAAAAAAACCAAAAAAACCCCACAAAGTGGTAGGGCTGGGACTCACACTGGTCTTTTGTTTCTTTGCAGACAGGGTCTTACTCTATCACCTGGCCTGGGGTGCAGTGGTTTGATGATAGCTCACAGCAACCTCAAACTCCTGGGCTCAAGCAATCCTCCGGCCTTAGTGTCCTGAGTAGCTGGGACTACAGGTGTGAGCCACCATGCCCGACTATTGGTTTTTAGTTTTTGCCAAGATAGGGTCTTGCTATATTGCCCAGGCTGGTCTCAGACTCCTGGACTCAAGTGATCCTCCCACCTTGGCCTTCCAGAGTGCTGGGATTACAGGCATGAGTCACCAAGCCCAGCCCACACTTGGTCTTATACAACATTAAGTGCTTTCCACTTTACTAAACTACTTTACATCAAAACAAACAATTACAAATATGAGGTCTTAGTACCAGTGCAGGATCTAAATTCAAGGGTGTTTATTAGTTTAACAAATAGAATGATAAGCTCTAAGACATTACATATGTTGAATAATATTTATAGTCCCACAACCTTATATGGAAATATTTAGAGTATACTTATATAGCACTGTGCTTTACATTACAGTGGGAAATTTATATAAATTGCAATTCATCAGTTCTAGAACCTAGGAAATTAAGGTCTTACCCCATGGCCTGTTCAGGGATGCAAATTTTCAACTGACGGACATTAGCATTCACTAGCATGAGGTTCTGGCTCAACAGGGAATGGATAAATGCCAGCGATCAGCAAGCATGCTGTTCCTGCAGCTGACTCCTTTGTTTGTTTGGGCAGGAAGCAGTGTGATGTGCGGGATGGTACAGCCCCTTACCATAAGTAAACAGTTCTATGACCAGCCACTTCGAGTTACATTGTCCTAAACTATGAAGCTAACTAACCGTAGATTAAGGAAAAATAAGACAAATACCTCAGTTTGTAGACTGCAGAGTTCAGTCCACGGCAAGACACTCCCCCAGCTTCGTTTGCAGACGGTTTCGCCCACGTGTTCTCCTGCCCGAAGGCTCGCCCTTGTTCTCTTAAGATACGACTCCCCTGGAAGTTGCGCTGATGAGCCATCACATTGTGTCTCCCAGAGCCCTTCAGGACTTGAGTCATCCCAGTGACTTTTGAGAGAATGTGACGGGGCAGTTCTAGCAGACCCAGGCGACAGACGCCCTGGGCCCCTGCGGCTAGTCTCTGACAAATCCACTGGCGGCTTGTACCTGGGGCTCAAAGAGACTGGGTCATCTTCCCCATGAAAACCAAAGAGGTCAGGGAATTTGTGAGAAGCACAAGCTTTGGCGGGAGCAGCAGCTGGCAGAGGAGGGAGAAAAAGACCCGGCTGACGGGGCGAGTCCATCCTGGGGAACGTGCCAGCAGGAGGGCCGCTCCCACCGCTACTAAGCGCGACGCGGAAGCGACCCGCGAGGGGCGCGGGGGGAAGGCTCCGGAAAGCCATTGCGCGCGGAGCAGCTGACTGAAAAGGGGCAGAGCCAGCGCCCGCCAAGCCGCGGGTCTCAAGGCCAAATTGCCTGGGGCGAGAAAGAGAACCGAACAGAAAGCCCTGAGGAGAGCCGGAGGCGGAGGCAGGAGCGGCGCGGGCGGCCCGGAGAGGCGGAGGCGGAGGCGAGGCGGCCTTGAGAGGCGGGCCTGAAGCGGCCTGGAGACTTGGGCCCGCGCTGACAGGGAGAGTTGGGCCCTGGTTGACCGGGCGAGGCGGGCCCGCGCTGACAGGGAGAGTTGGGCCCTGGTTGACCGGGCGAGGCGGGCCCACGGTGACTGGGAGAGTTGGGGTCGCGGAGACCCGGCAAGTCGGGCCCAGATTGACCGCGACACTTTGGGCCACGAAGACCATGGCGAGGCGGGCCCGCGCTGACAGGGAGAGTTGGGCCCTGGTTGACCGGGCGAGGCGGGCCCACGGTGACTGGGAGAGTTGGGGTCGCGGAGACCCGGCAAGTCGGGCCCAGATTGACCGCGACACTTTGGGCCACGAAGACCATGGGAGGCGGGCCCGCACCGACCGGGAGAGTTGGGCCCGCGGAGACCGGGCGAGGCGCGCCCGCGGCGGCCGAGAGGGGCAGAGGCGAGGCGGCCAGGAGGGGCGGGCCGGCGTTGGCCGCGCCGAGAGCACAGTCGGAAACAAGCATGTTTCTGCAAGGGATTCTGCTGGATCGTAGTTGCAGTGCGCTTGGTTTACTTGAAAAAAGGCATAAATCCAACGGCTTTCCCACACCTTCACTCTCCAAACTGGGCGTGGAGGCCGGTGCCGCCGGTTCCGGGCCTAGGCTGTCTCCGTCGGCGTCCTCGGACACTTTCTTCTTACGCAATTTAAATTTTCTTTTAACCTTGCGTGTTCTGCATTCGGTGAAACCCGAGTCTTCGATCCGTTCGGAGGATGCTGGGAGAGGCTGCGCAGAAGAGGAAGTCGTTAACGCGAGGGGAACACGGAGGGAAGGGGCAGTGAAGCCAAAGTGTCTTCCCAGCAGTCACCGCCCGCCCGCCCGGAACCCGTGAGCGCGGGCTCCGCAGACCTGGCAGCGGACAGAACGCCAGCGCTCAACGCGCTGCAAGAGCCTTCTCTGTTTGTTCCTGGAACCGTGGAAGTTTAAACACACGAGGAGACCCAGGACCACCGAAGTGAGCTGCCCAAGATTTTGCAATGAGCAGTATCATAGTATGTAAATGAACCCTACACCGAGCTAGTAATTTGTTATTCTAGTCTCTTATATTGCTTTCCAGCAATGTGAAAAATAAAATAAAATTGAAAAAAAAATTGCAAAAGTTGTAAAGTAACTAAATGAATGTATCTCTTCACCAGAATATGAACAATATGTAAAATAAAAGGGAAGGAGGAATGCTATGTTACTACTACATTCTCCCTTTTTAAAAAACACACATAATAATATGTTATTCTCACCGCTCTCCACCTTGCTTAGTACACCTGGGGAGTCTTCGATCCCAGACGTGCACAGCTGTCTCACCCTTGCGAGCAGCTGCACAGGTGCGGCCAGACTGCCCTGTACAGAGGCCCGCCTGACTTAACTGCCCCATCAGCTTGGTGACAGTGTCTGTTTCAGACACCTGGGGCTGATACCAACTGCTAACATACCCAGTACCTGCCATGAGCCAGACAAATTCTAATGGTCTTAGGTCTATCAATTCCTTCACTCTTCACAGCCACCGTGAGGTCTCTTATTACTCTCTCCACTTTAGAGTGACTGGACCAAGAGCACTGGGAAGTTCAGGCCACAGGGAGTGCCACCATGGGATTCAGACCCAATCAGTCCTGCCACAGAGCGACTGTGTGTCTTCACCACTATGTTTACTGATTTTCAATTATCTACCTTTTTTGATCTTTGCCAACCTGATAAAAAATGGAATCTGATGGCCGTTTTAATTTCTCTTAGCAACAATGAGGTTGAACATCTTTTCATATGTTTGAGAGCCCTATTACTTCCTTATTTATGATCAAACGCTTGGCCTGTTTATCTATTGGATTACTGGTCTTTTTCTTAATAATTCATGGGAGTTCTTTATGCATTAAGAAAATTAATTTGTTTCTGTTGCAATATTTTTTTCCCAGTTCATCACTGTCCTTAGATTTTTTTCTCATATATCTAAACCCCTTTCAACTTTTGGAAACACCATTCAAAGACCTCCTGGATGATAGTTTTTCAACATAGTTTGGTTCATCTGTGTCCTTGGCTCACGCTGTGATTGCCTGTGGGGGCCCACAAGACGTATATATATGATATAATTTGAGGTTATGACCTGCGTGTGCGCCCAGGCAGGAGTGGAAGCACGTGTTCTGGAATTATTATCTTCCCCCCTTTCTTTAACGACAGCTATAAAATATAATAAAAATACTGCATGAAGGGTTGAGAAAACATTTTCTGTCTCTCTTCTCTCTCTCTCTCTCTCTCTCATTATTTACCATACCAAAACACATCAAATATGATTTTATGAGCAAACTAAGATGATGTCTAATGTACTTTTTTATATTCTTCACTAACAAAGTCACTCTTTTTTTTTTTTTTTGAGACAGACTCAAACAAAAAAAACAGACTCAACAAAGCAAGACAGACTTGCTTTGTTGCCCAGACTAGAGTGAGTGCCATGGCGTCAGCCTAGCTCACAGCAACCTCAAACTCCTGGGCTCAAGCAATCCTTCTGCCTCAGCCTCCCGAGTAGCTGGGACTACAGGCATCACCACCATCGCCCGCTAATGTTTTCTATATGTATTAGTGTGGCCAATTAATTTTTTCTACTTTTAGTAGAGATGGGGTCTTGCTCTTGCTGCAGGCTGGTTTACGCAACTCCTCTGGACCGTTGAGCAGATCCGGCGCTCCTGGTTTTCGCTCCGCTAGTGTTGAGCATGTGTGGTAAGGTGTGGAGCCCACTCTGCATTTTGCCTTGTCCCAAAGGTCGTCAGCTCGTTAATTGTATGGCATCAAAGAAAATGGGTATTGTGTACATTTTATTTTCTCAAAATCTCTCTCTCCATGTATTTTTTTCTTAAATTCGAACTTCTTTTTAAAAAATTTTTCTTTATTATTTTTTTTTCCTAAAAAGCAGCTTTGAGAGATATAAATTCTTAAATTTTGGAAATTTTACTTCTCTAACCTGGAGACCCTAAGAGTCTTATCAGTACTGTTCTGTTGTTTTGCTTTTGAATATGCTTTCCAATTTTTATTGAAGCCACATTACTCAAGTGTTATTATGTTCCTGGTTACAAGGACCACAGCATAAAGCATTATTCACTTTAAGAAATACTGATGGTAAACTTAGATTATTAGGACTTTTCACACTCGTTCCATTATAAACATATTCCCTACATGACTTTCCCTTCCTATATGACGGTTTATCTGTCCACGAACAAAGCATAGCCACAGGTGTTGTCTTTTTGTACTTTGCAGCTACGTTCACATTACATACGACTGTTTTGGTAATGCAGCAGCATCTTTATGAATGTGTGAATATTTTCCCCCATCAGGGAGATGACAGTGTCTGCATGTACAGGTAATAAGGGAGCTGTCTTATAAGCAAAGGGTTCCCCTCGTCATCATGAAAAGGTGAAAGCACAGTATCGATTTATTTGGTGATCAGCATTTACCTGCATCACGCCGGCGTCTCGGGGCTCCTCCTGCCAACTCATGTACGGCAGAAGGTCCACGTCTTCTTTGGCGATAAGTTCAGAAACTTCTGGCACAATAGGAAAAGGAGACTCATTCTCATCCTATATTGAATCACAGTAAGATTAAATTAGAACAGACGTCATCCAGGTCAGTGATCATCGCACATTCTAAAGCCTGTGGGTGTTGGTTTGGGATATGTTTGCCTGTAACGCTGGATCCTGCCGGGCCACAGGTCGGAGGGAAAGGGGGGAAGGCCGCGTGCGGGTGAGCAGCTTCCTTTGTAAGGAGTGCTCGCTGTGCTGGGCGCCACTGTGTTAAAAATCCCAAACTTATGAAGGGGAAAGGGCCTCTCTGAGAGTAAGGGAAACCCAAGCCTTTTTTATTTTCTTTTTCAGGGTCTTGGATTAATAAAAGATGAGAAATGCCAAAGATGTAACACAACTATAGGGTATCTTAAAATACACACGTAGCTAATGAATAATTATAACACTAAAAATGATAACATGTGATTCATTTAGAAAGATTACTTTAAGACCCAAAGCCTAGGCCCTCCGTGAACGGGAGGCCCTGGCCCAGGGGGCCTACTTCACAGCAAGAGTGACTTTCTTAAGGTGGAAATATAAATAAAATAATTTAATCGCAAATTAAAACAATACGTACCCTTTTCTCAACTGCCACGAAGCTTGTGAATTGTGTTATGAGAGAGTTTTCTTTACTGAGTTTAATAATCACAGATTTCAAGATTTGTTTCTTCATCTAGGAGGACAGAATAAAGCAAATGAAATCATGTCCTGTTCTATTTATTTCTATTTAGCTATGTATGACCAATTAAGGGAGTAGTCAACCACCTAAAAAGCTATTTTTCTACATTAGTAAGTCATTTTATGATTCGTATTTCAAAATCAATACTGAGTCGAGGGTCTTACCTAAATATGTTAACTAGGTGACTAAACGTTCCCTGCAAAATGGGATCAACTGACTGATCTACGTTGTTAAAAAAAAAAAAAAACGTATACAGTTCTCTGTAGTTCCCCAGGCTCTTGCATGCAGTGAGCTTCCTCACTCTTTTACAGTCTGTGGCTCCCGTTTTACAACCGAGCGGCTGGAGAGATGAGTGACTTGCTCAGTATAAACGGGCCTCAGCAAAACAGAACACGAAGGCTGCTAATCCAAGGGCCCTGGAGGAGAATACTGAAAGCACCAGACTATCTGTCACCAAATGTGACTGCTTGCGAGGGTATCTGGGCCACATGGCACGCTGGCACCTTCCTCTGGGATGGCACCGAGGACCACACTCACAACCTCATTAAGACCACGGTCCCTGCAAGGCCAGCTGGACAGTCCTGGTCAGGGGGCTGAGTGGGACCCTCTACCAGGACCTTGCCTAGGAGGGGGTCAGGCAGGCTTTGGCTCTGCCATGTGTCCCCAGGCAGGTCACTCCCCACCCTGCACCTGGGCTTCACATCAGTAAAATGGGAATACCAAGGCTACCGCGTGTGAGATCTGAGTGGTTGGGCCTCTTTCTTATGGGCAAAACATCACAGAATTCTCAGGAAACCGCTGACAGCCCTTCTTTCGTAAATTCAGTCAACAAACATCCACTGTGCACCCCACGTTGCCAGCACAGATGTCATGGATACCAGTGATGGGTGCCCTGCGTTCATCCAGCCAGCCTCCCTTTACATTCCCGTAGATAAATCAATTTGAGAACTCGCGGGAATAATGCGCAATTTTTACTGTGGAGAGAACGAACCTCGTGGCCGGTCTCGTTTTCGTGAAGAATGCCATCTTCATAATCTCTGATTAGAGCGCGCGCCGTCAGCTTGTGAATCATCTGTGTTTCGGCAGCAAAGAAATAAAAATATTCAAAGGGCTTTTGATTAAAGATGCACAGAGAACATTTAAAAAATGGAGGTATGACTTACATGCAGTAAAATTCACCCCTTTATTAGCACCAACTAAGCGCTTAAAAACTTTTTTTATTAGTGTTTTTTTCCAGCTGAATGTTTTTAATAAAAAGAAATCACCCTTCTAATTGTACATTTTGACAAGTTTAATGATCGTATACAGCCGTGTGACCACAACTGACGTGGAGAGGCAGAACATTCCCTTCTCCCTGAAAGTTCGCTCGTGTCTCTTTGCAGTCACCCCCAGCCCTGGCGACACCTCATCTATTTTCTGTCCCTAGAGTTTTGCCTTCTCTATAAAAGGCCGCTTTGCCACTTCAGTTTATTTCACAAATTCCAAACTGCTTCTCCGCTGTGGGAAGAGCTGGCTTAGTGCCAGACGCCGTGAGAGCCCCGAGAGGTGTTTCTCTCAAATGACTGAGAAACGGACTGATCTGCAGCGGCAATGTCCACCTTCCATAATTCCAACTCCTGTAACTGTGTCACTGGTGAGGCCACCGCTCTCAGAGGAAGTACAACTATGAAGGCTATTATTTTATGGAAAAAAACTTCTTCCCAGGTAAAAATCCTTTTAGTTTATCTCCCCCTTAGATCCTATTTCTAAAACAATATACAGCTTCCTTTAAGATCTACACATAAGTCACTGGCAAGTAGTAAGTCAATTTATTTATTGTCAACTATTTATTGACTCAGTTCCAAAAAGTAATCTATCTTTTATTTTTAAAAAACCTAGCAATGGGCCGGGCGTGGTGGCTCATGCCTGTAATCCTAGCACTCTGGGAGGCCAAGGAGGGAGGATTGCTCAAGGTCAGGAGAAACCAGCCTGATTAAGAGCAAGACACCGTCTCTACTACAAATAGACAGAAATTAATTGGCCAACTAATATATATAGAAAAAATTAGCCGGGCATGGTGGCGCATGCCTGTAGTCTCAGCTACTCGGGAGGCTGAGGCAGGAGGATTGCTTGAGCCCAGGAGTCTGAGGTTGCTGTGAGCTAGGCTGATGCCACGGCACTCACTCTAGCTTGGGCAACAAAAGCAAGACTCTGTCTCAAAAAATAAATAAATAAAATAAAGTAAAATAAAAATAATAAAAAACCTAGCAATGTCTGGGGAATGGTTTATCCGGTCATACAAATGCTCGTCTGAATAGCAAACTACATAAATAGCATATGTAGGTTAGGACTTTGCAAGGTTAAACTGTAGTGCATTCAGTGCTAATGCAAATACAGCAAACCTTTTGGTGTGCATGTGTGACACAGTGTTAAGCAGGAAACCAGAATATGCCACCTCAAAACCTATTTCCTTGGCATGTTCCAAGGCAGCTATTCAGAGGGGCTGCAGACCCAGGAGTAGTCTGAGACGCCGTCCTTGTCTAGGGCAGGTGACATCTGCACAGGACACCTGCACCAGCAAAGTAAAGAGCAGATGCACACAGGCTCTCTCCCAGCCCCTCCTGCCTGCCCTAGCCCAATCTAGCAAAGGGGAACCCACAGGAAAAGGCTAAAATCTGACACTTCAAAGCTATGACAGAGAAACCGGTACCACAGGCTGCTTTCTGCTCTTTCCGAGGGCTGCTGTCTGCATGACAAGACGCTGTGCTCGGCACGGTTTCCTCCCTTCACCCTCCACACCCGCCTCCATCCCCCCACGGAAGCCCCGAACCTCATCCCTTCTGTCATCTGGCCCTTCTCTGAGTCTCACGTGGCTCCCAGGCAAATCAACTTGTAGGTCTTCTCTCCTGTCAACCTATTGTCAGTTTATTTTATAGACTCAAACACTGAACGTTCGGAGGGAAAGTTTGAACTTCCCTTCAGATGTAAAAAGAAGCACACATGTGTGTTATTCGTAACAAGCCCCTATCAACCACACCTGAGTGTATGTCAGTGAGGTGACTTTTGGAGAGTCCCTAGGGTGGGACTTCAATGGACAGGGTTTGGGGGGCTTCCGTTTGGCACCACGCATTGGGGGGGGGCGGTGCACCCCAGCCCCACACTCGACAGAAGCCCCTGTGCTCGGGCCTCTGCCGGCCTCGCCCTGTGAGCCTCTGCCTCTACCGCTCACGTGTATCCTTTATAGCACCCTTTGCAACACAGCAGTAACAGCGAGGAATCTGTTTTCCTGGGCTCTGTGAGCTGTTACAGCTCATCACCGAACCTGGGGAAGGGTTATGGGAACCTCTGACTTGGAGCTGAGTCAGCCAGAATTGGGAGCAGCCCGGGGAACCCCTGCTTGTAACTGGTGTCTGGAGTGGGGGGCAGTCTCATGGGGCTGAGCCTTACCCTGTGGGCGTCTGTGCCAACTCCAGGCAGTTAGTGTCAGAATTGAATTAAATTGTAGGACAGGCCAGGCGTGGTGGCGCACACCTGTAATCCTAGCACTTTGGGAGGCTCTGGCAGGAGGATCACCTGAGCCTAGGAATTTGAGACCAGCCTAGGCAACACAGTGAGACCCCATCTCTACAAAAAATAGAAAAATCAGTTGGGTATGGTGGGGTACACCTATAATCTCAGCTACCTGGGAGGCTGAGACGGAAAGATTGTTTGAGCCCAGGAGTTTGAGGATACAGTAAGCCATGACCATGCCACTGTACTTCAGCCTGAGCGACCACTGTACTTCAGCCTGGGCGACACCTCTGAAAACAAAACAAAACAAAACTGTAGGATACACAATTAGTGTGGGGGAATTTGTCAGTGTGGGGGGAATGCCACACATCTGAAGACAAGAGGCACTAAGAGTCTAGAAGAAACAGGAGTTTTTTTCTTTCATATTTCATTTGCTTTTAATCTAAAAATAGAAAAATCAAACACATCCTCAATATAGGATATGGTTCACTCTTAGTCTAGTGGTGTTATAATACATATTTTCCTTTAGAGATAGGATCTTGCTGTTGCCCAGGCTGGCCTCAAACTCCTGGGCTCAAGTGATCGTGATCCTCCCACCTCAGCTTCTTGAGTAGCTGGGACTACAATATTTTTAAACAGCATAGGTAGACCAGTGGCACTTAACTTTTATTGAATCATGAGCATCTTTGGGAACCTCCCTAAAAACGTTTCACGCACAAAAAGCCGTATGAAATTGAAGTCATTCATACCCACTCATGACCACACTCAGACCCAAGAACCCCAGACGAGGAACTGGTGCATTAGACCTGAAGCAAGAGTCCTCATTTGTATAGACACCCATCTTATGCTGTGTACTGAAATGTCAACACAGAAAAACAACAGCAAAGGAAGCACACGGAGCATTATATATGGGAATTTAAGTTCATAACTTTCGAACAACGGGCCCATAGTTTAAGTTTTTAATCTTACCGTTCCAGTTGTCTTCTGAAGCTCAGTAGTCGACACCATTGTGCAAAATTCTTTCTCTTGAATTAGTGCACCTAGGGTTGCCTGAAACGGGGGAAAAACATTAATTCCTCATTAGCTTTTCCACTCCACAATGGCTTGGTTAGTTGAACAACAATTCTTTCAGTGATTTCCTTTCCCATTGCCATGGAAATTAGAAGCGTCCCCAGAGCCTCGGCTAACCACCGAGAAATGTTCCCGGGAGAAAAATCTGCCAGTAAGAAGGAGAAGGAAGAAAAAAGGGGGGAAAAAGTCACGAGCAAAATATATTGGTCTTCCAACAGCATAACAAACCGTGTGCCGCCTACCTGTGTACAGTGAGGAATAAACCCATAGACGAGGAGTTGATCGTTGTGGAACAAGGACGGCACCTGGGCGGGGGCCTGCAGGGGCTCGGGCGCGTCCGTGCCGAGCTGCTGCCATTTGACGGAGACAGAGTGACAACTGGGAGAACGTAACCTGGTCATCTGGTCTTCTATCTATTCACAAGAAAGGAGTTGTTCCTCTTTCAACATTATATCCAGAGAAATTGCTTAACACAGAATAAAGTTTACATTCTATCCTTTGAGGATTTTGTAGCTCTTAGGTTTCTTTCCTCCTCCTTGCTACAGGGCACTTTTCCGAAAAGATTTTGAGTACGATTTTTAATGATAGCACTGTCACATCATTTAGATTTATAAAGCATCCTAAAATAATTCCATTTGCTAATTACTAATATACAACTTTGGCAGGAGTAGATTTGAGTTATAAAAATTAACCCCACACAGGACTTGAAGAGACATTTCTCCAAGGAAGATAATACAATTGGCCAATAAGTACATGAAAAGGGGCTCAACATTACTTGTCATTAGGGAAATGCAAATCGAAACCACAACAACATACGACTTCACACCCATTAGGATGACCATTATTTAAAAAAACACACACACACAAAATAATGGATGTTGGTGAGGACGTGGAGAGACTGGAGCCCCTGTGCTGGGGGGAGGTAAGAGGGCCCGGCTGCTGTGAAGGACAGCACAGCGGTTCCTCAAAACGCTAAACATGGACGACACATGATCCGGCGAGCCTACTTGCAGGTATATACTCAAAATAATTGAAGGTGGCGTCTCAAACAGATATTTGCACACCCACGTTCACAGCAGCACCACCACAACGGCCAAAAGGCGGAAACAACCCAGGTGTCCATCAGCCATCAAGGGATGAATGAAGAAAACAGAATGCGGAACGTGGACAGGACAGACTACAGCCTATCATCCAGCCTGAAAAAGGAAGGACGGTCTGACATGTGTGACAATACGGATGAACTTTGAAGACGTTATGCCAAGTGAAATGGGGCAGTCATAGAAGGGCAACTACCACATGATTCTGTTTATCTGAGCTGCCGAGTACAGTCAGAGTCAGACAGAAAGCAGAACAGACGTGAGCAGGGGCCGGGGGTGGGGAATGGAGAGCTGTTGTTTAACGTGGACAGAGTTTCCATCTGGGATGATGAAAACATTTGGAAATAGAGAGAGGTGATGGTGGAACAACACTGTGAATGTACTTAATGCCATTGCACTGAAATATACACTTAAAATGGTTCAAATGGTAAATTTTATGTGTCTTTTATCCCAATAAAAAATTAATCCCAGCAACACATATATAGCACTTCATTTTAAAACATTCATGACATTGTATAAGGCAGACATCAAACGATTAGCTAGGAGAATGACCCAATCAAGTATTGACTGTGTTCCCGCCAGGTGCCACATGGGTGGTACCTGGGGCCAGGGGCTCACACCTTTGGTGGCTTTTGCCTCTTTATAGCTCCCTGTCCATTCAAGAAAACACAGAAGTTACCATCACTTAGACTTGTAAGAAGACAATATTTCTACACACATACATAAAATTAGAGATAAGGTGTTTTATTAATAAAAACCTACCTGTTTTTTCCAATTATGTTTGGATTTTGTGTTAAAATATTCAAATACTCCAGCACCACACTGGGACAGGGTCCTTAAGACGTGACGATTTGCTGTAGAACTGACCACATTTCACACGTGTTAGTGTTCAAGACATTTGAGAGACATCTTTGAAGTACATGTTAAGAGTGCTGAGAAAGCACAAAACTAACTAGGGGAGACACATTACTTGAAGAAAAATCTACTCTTCTGTAGCTGAGGTTAAAGACATAAAATGATAACAGTAGGAAACATCTGAAGGTTTGTCTAAGTTAAGCTCCCCCATGTCAGAGAATTTATCTTTCACAATAGAAAAAAGTAGAAAATCTTGCCTCCCAATTTATTGAAGGGACCAGATGGTTAAAAAAAAACAACAAACAAAACCCAAAGGTACCAGAATGGTGGTAAAGATATCAACCTACTTTCAATAAATACCAGTTACCTGAATCTGATCCCAAAGGCCAAGAGCTGGCAAGAGAGTTAATCAAGTGTCGCTCTCAAAATCTGATATACATCTACAGAGCAAAAGGTAGCAAGAAGTAACTCTCACTCCAGCAAAGAACATCTTTGATATTTAAATAAATGGCCTATTACATTTCTCTCAATAATAATGCTACAACTTTTAAGAACTCCTTTCTTAGAGGGGTTCCTCCTGATACTAAAGAAATGATCAATTATTTTTCAGAGAAAGTTTCTGAAATTTATTTCAGTCTATTGACAAAGACTGGATTTGCCTTTAGTTATCAATATTAACTGGTTATGATCATAACATTGACTAGGAAACCCTTAAGACGGGCTTGTTTTATTGCACAGATTGGCTGGTTGGAATCTTTCCTGCACTGTTGTGGCCCTCAGAAAACAGGTCTATACACCAATCCTCAAGAGCTCAGCTCACTGGAGTTTGTAAAGCAAACCCGTGTGGGGAAGAAGAGGCAGAAATACTTAGAGTCTAAAGACATAACAGAAGAGCAGAGAGGATCCCAGCCCCTGCAGGCTCTCGACTGTGCAACTTGCCATCACACCCCCTCACGTTCCTCACGGGCCCTGGGGGAAACCCCATCCCTGTCCCAGGACAGGCCTGAGGGAGGAAGGAAGGAAGGAGGAAGAAAGAGGAAGGAGGAAGGAACTTTGCTCCGTGTCCCTGCCTGGCCACGGGCACCCAGCCCCATCCAACACCCAGGCTGCTCGGGGCAGGCTGGAAACTTGGATCCTCACGTAAAACATTAGCATGTGACACTGATTTGGAGCCTATCGTGTGTCAGTTCTGTTCCGAGCACTTTCTATAAATGAGCTCATTGAATCCTCACAGCATCCCTCTGGGGCAGGTACTTTCCTTATCACCTTCCTCGTCCAGGTGAGAGGTTAAGCCACTTGTCCAAGGTCACGGCTAAAGAGTGGCCCACCTGGTTTGAGGCCAGGCAGTGGCTGAGAGCCCAGACCCCAGGGCCTTGCCCGCCACGCTGCGCCGAACATGCTAGCACAGACGCCCACGCCTTCACAGGTCCCGCGCAGGCCGGCAGACGGACCCCCGCAGGCGCCGTGTCCTCCCAGCGGCTGGGCCGAGTGACCAGCTCTCGGGGACTCACCCGACGCCGCAGGCAAACAACCTGGTGTGGGGGAGGCTTCTCCTCACGAGCCGCAACGTCAGGCTCTCATTCTGGAGGTGCCCGTCAGACACAAGGAGAATGTCCCGAGACCCCTGACAAGGGTACAGTAGACTTAAATATCGGAGCGTTTTCCAGAACTCGGTGTTGCCCATGGTGGGCGTGGCAGACTGGAGGGAAGAAAGGGAGAGGTCACGTTCTCCTCTCGGGGTGTGGTCGCCGTTCGCTACCCCTTCACATCTCCTAAGGAGGGGTTAGAGGACGTGTCTTTTCCCCTAATTATACATTTGTGGAACAATGACACTTCTATCCTTTCAGTTTATTTCACGTCACAGTAACTATAACATCATCACTCGGCATTTATTTGCTTTTTCACAGTTTCCAGAGAACTACTAGATCCACGGGAATAAACGTCCCAGTAGAGCAGCCCTCGCCTTGCCAGTCTGCGTGAGGTGCTGGTCATTCTCAGCTTGTTCTATTTTTTGTTTTGTTTTATTTTGTTTTGTTTTTGAGACAGGGTTTCTCTCTTTTGCCCAGGCTAGAGTGCAGTGGCATCATCGTAGCTTGTTGCAACTGGGCTCAGGCAATCCTCCTGTCTCAGCCTCCTGAGTAGCTGGGACTACAGGCATGCGCCACCACACCCAGCAAATTTTTCTGTTGTTTGTAGAGACAGGACCTCACTCTTGCTCAGGCTGGTCTGGAACTTTTGGCCTCAAGCAAGCCTCCCACCTTGGCCTTCCAGAGTGCTAGGATTATAGGCATGAGCTTGCTCTATTTTAAAAGAAAATAAAGGACAGAAGAGAACTTTCCAAAGCTCTGAAAGTTAGTTGGGTGGTGGGACCATGGGTGATTTCTTTTGTTCCACTCTTTTTAATTTCCATTTTTTTCCTTAATGAGTCCATATCATTTTTATTAATGAAATAAAGAACCCACCACATACAAACACTGAAGGACTCGGAGTGCTCTGGTGGCTTCAGGGCAGTGGGCCCAGGACAGCGCCACAAAACCGTGATTGGCAGAGGCCGAGGAAGGCTCTCATACTCACCATGATGAACTCTGTTGGCTCGACGCTGCTTGTGATGCACTTGGGATACGAAAATAATTCCTTGTAACCTGTGAGATTAGATCAACAGGGGGTGCTGTCATCGGATGTTCACCCGCTTGACCACTAACAAACCACAATGCTACTTCACACCACTGCCATAGTAAAGAATGCTACATATTTATGTGTGTGCCTTCCTCTTTAGAAAACCATGTTTGATCATTTTTTTTTGAGACAGAGTCTCGCTTTGTTGCCCAGGCTAGAGTGAGTGCCGTAGTGTCAGACTAGCTCACAGCAACCTCAAACTCCTGGGCTCAAGCAATCCTTCTGTCTCAGCCTCCTGAGTAGCTGGGACTACAGGCATGCGCCACCATGCCCGGCTAGTTTTTTTTTCTATATATATGTTAGTTGGCCAATTAATTTCTTTCTATTTATAGTAGAGATGGGGGTCTCGCTCTTGCTCAGGCTGGTTTTGAACTCCTGTCCTCGAGCGATCCACCCTCCTCGGCCTCCCAGAGTGCCAGGATTACAGGCGTGAACCACCACGCCCAGCCTAAAATATGAATTTCTTATATGTTGAAATTATCAGACCGGGCGCGGTGGCTCACGACTGTAATCCTAGCACTCTGGGAGGCCGAGGCAGGTGGATCGCTCGAGGTCAGGAGTTCAAAACCAGCCTGAGCAAAAGCTGGACCCCGTCTCTACAATAAATAGAAAGAAATTAATTGGCCAACTAAATATATATAGAGAAAAAATTAGCCGGGCATGGTGGTGCATGCCTGTAGTCCCAGCTACTCGGGAGGCTGAGGCAGAGGGATGACTTGAGCTCAGGAGATTGAGGTTGCTGTGAGTTGGGCTGACACCACGTCACTCACTCTATCCTGGGCAACAAAGTGAGACTCTGTCTCAAAAAAAAAAAAAAAAGAAATTCACATTTTACCAAGAAATTCATTCATTTTAACATATAAGAAATTCTCCACAGTATTCCCCTAAATACATTTTAGAGCAATCAAACTGTGCAGTTTACGATGCAAAATGTCCTGAGTGAAATTCCACGTGGAGACCTCTTCTCTGCAGCCAGCACGCCACTTGGGCAAAGCAAGGTGCAGGGTGTCTCAATGGTGAGGGCAACTGGGCCTGGCCGGGCACAGTCTCTGTCCAGGCCCCTTGCACCCCCCGTGCCTCTGTCACCTCTGTCCCAGCAGCAGAGACCCAAGCTCTGTTGCACAAGGGCTCGGCCTTCTGCTGGTGGCACGGAACATGGGAATCAAGAGAACGGGACTGTCCTGTCTATGTGCCTTCTCTTTTCCCTGAAGTGCCACCTTCTGGTGGCTGAGATGTCCCTGGGCTCCAAGTGGAGGGTGGCATTCCCTCTCTTCCAACAGTGCTGAACGGAGGCTCCCCGAGACCATTCCTTACAGATTTTCTATGACTGGTTGCAGCTGTTCTGTTCTTAGCTTTGGGACCCTCCTACTCACCAGACTAAGGGTCCTGCTCTGGTTCAGTTGGCAATAAGAACCACAGTAACATTTATATCTCATCTACTAGGGAACAGGCACTGTTTAAAATCCTTTCCATACATTAGGTCAATCCTCATAATAACACTCTGACTTAGGGAGGATTATCCCGGGTTACAGATGGGGAAACTGAGGCACCAAGAGTTCCAGTAGCAAGCCCAAGGCGACACAGACACGTGGAGCTTGTGAGTGGCGCAGCTGGGATCGGACCCGATCGGATCTAGCTCCAGAGTTCTTGCTCTCGGGCTTCAGGCCAGGCAGCCTCTCTCTCCACACGGGAGGCCCGGTGCTGAGTCATCGGCTCTGCACGGCGGGCTCACACGGGGAGGAAGCACACGTGGGGCCGGAGCCGACGCGCACTCACCTGTGCCGAACCGGACAACGTTCACTTTTTGCTTCTCACCCACCAAGGAGAGCGCGTGCAGGGCGATCTGCTTGGCTTGCAGGAACGTCACGCCCTCCATGGAATTGGAGCAGTCGAGACAAATAATCACTTCGCTCTCGGTGGCTCGGTCGGGGAGGCCGACGTGGAGGTCGGGTTGAAAGACAAGCATGCAAGCCTGAGAGGACAAAGAAGGTGCTGGGTCGCAGCTTCTTAGAACTGAAGCTGGAAAAGATCTACTTGTGAAACTCTGAAACTTTCTAGTGAGGTGAACTAATGCTAGCAAACCAAACAGAGTAAGATTGATTCAACAGTGAGGTGGCCTGCTAGGAGTTCAAGTCAAAAGTGCCATGTTAGAGCTGGAATTTTCAACATATAACTCCCCAGAAGTCAAGAATTGATATAGAATTATTAATATCTGAAAAATCATATAGCATCAACATTGTCCGCAGAACAAATATGTTTCTTTCCCACACAGCCACTATTCTAAAAGGGATGCAGATACTATTGTGATTACTGCAATATACCCACGTACCGTTAGTTTTATTTATTATTTATTTATTTATTTTTTGAGACAGAGTCTCGCTTTGTTGCCCAGGCTGAAGTGAGTGCCGTGGCATCAGCCCAGCTCACAGCAACCTCAAACTCCTGGGCTCAAGCGATCCTGCTGTCTCAGCCTCCCGAGTAGCTGGGACTACAGGCATGCGCCACCATGCCCAGCTAATTTTTTCTATATATATTAGTTGGCCAATAATTTCTTTCTATTTATAGTAGAGACAGACGGGGTCTCACTCTTGCTCAGGCTGGTTTCGAACTCCTGACCTCGAGCAATCCGCCCGCCTCGGCCTCCCAGAGTGCTAGTATTACAGGCGTGAGGCAACGCACCCGGCCCTTTAGTTTTATTAATTAACCTACACTTCAAGTATAACTACTGTCATATAAGTTTTGATTTTTATTTTAGCTTTTGAAGTGATTCTTTGTCACAGCCAGACATAAATGAATTTTTATTTGTTTCTCCAGCATCAATATTTAAGAAGTACAGAAAGTATGCAGACTACCCGATACAATGTCTGATGGCAGATGCTCTCTGTAGTGGGGGTTAAGGTAAGAAACGACCATCTTTACAGGGAAACAGGGAACACGGGGGTGTTGGTTGGCACCTCAGAAGTATTGTCACGCTTGACAGCATTAAGTATTTTTAGTTGCAGAATCTTGGGCTGTTAGAGTTCATTTTGTAATGCTAGTTTTTCAGGACAATAAATAATTTCCAAATGTGAATAACCTGCTTATTCTAAAATATTTTTCCAACAATGTCTCCTACTTTTCTTTTTATTTGAGACAGAGTCTTGCTCCGTCACCCCAGCTAGAGTGTGGTGGCATCATCATAGCTCACAGCAACCTCAAACTCCTGGGCTCAAGCGATCCTCCTGCCTCAGCCTCCCAGTATCTCCTACTTCTAAGTAAGAAGAATTATACCTCGCTTTCTTTGTCCGGGTGTTTTTCGACCCACATTCTTGGGAGATATGCATCAGACAAACCGACGCGGAGAGAAAATCCACCACTGTCTAGGGAGCTGCCTTCCACAGTGCTGATTACAGCTTTGCAGTCCGTGCGCTGTAAAGCAAACCACCACGACAGCAGGGTAAGTGACGGGATGATACCGTTTTATCGGTTCGCACTTACCTGGCAAGTAGCAAACCCCTGCACAATTTATATAACTCCATTAAGAATCAATAGCGTAGTAATAAATTACACAGTTATGAAATGGAAGTTTTAGAAGTAAGAGCACGATCATATCAGCTGCCCTTCTTAAATTCTAAGGTTGGCTTCACACAGTCAAATCTGGGTAGGTTTAAGACAATCTCCAACCCTGGATCCAAAGATTATAGACCCATGCGTTCAGTTGGACCTATCTGGTTACAGCTGAGAGCACACCAGACATCAAAACCTGGAAGAGTAACATAGAAAATTCAACAGATATCTTAGAATTACACCCTATTTGTAAATTATATTTCTATAAATTTTTTAAAAACTTGTGAAAATGTAAACAATAAGCTTTACGGCAACGAAGACGACGTGGTAGCCTGTAAAACGGCCACAGAGTCTCCGCACTCCTGTCTGCCCGCGCCTTTGCCACGTGGCTTTGAAGTCCCTCCATCCAGAGGCAGCGTCCATATTCCCGCCCTTGAATCTGGAGTTGGCCACTGGCACTTGTGTTGGCCCGTGGGATGCCGGCAGATGTGATACAAGTCAGGGCTTGAAAGTGTCCACTCGGTGACGCTGGCCCTCTCTCATTGCTGCTGGGGGCTCTGCCACCACTGCACAAATGAGCCTGAGCCCACCTGCGGACGGACGGCAGACGTGGCCCCCCACCAGCTCCCTGATGCCAGGTGAGTGGCCCCTGATGCCAGGTGAGTGGCCCCGGCCAGCTGCCCCACAGAGCTGCGAGAGTAACAAATGCTTGTTGCTCTCGGTCACAAAGTTTTGGGACCGTTTGCTAAATGGCAAGAGCTAACTGCTGTGGGGGGCTCCTTGTTCAGGATGGAGCTCATCTCCACTCCCCAGCAAAATGCTCGCCTTCCCTAAAGTGAAAGGGAAGCAACAAAAGGTGACGGGCCCATAAAGACACTGAGGACAGTAACAAAGGCAACAGCACATGAGCCGTGTCAACACATTCCAGGAGGCTGGGAAGCTGAGGGAGGAGGAAATGACTCAGCCAGAGTGGAAGAGGCAACCATGGGAGTGCCGTAGAGGCGGCGGCCACTGAGGCGGGCTCGCGGCCGAGCCGAGGGCTGTGGGCGGCCTGCGGTCCTGGGAGGACACGGCGGCCATGAACAGACCGCGCCAAGCTGTCAGGCCAGGGCCCTCCCGCCATGAGCAGCCAAGCGGCTGGCACCGTTTACCCCTGTTCTCTCACTCAAGATTCATCATTTAGAGAAATGCAACCAAGTAGAATCGAGACCAGGGAACGTGAGGGATAATGGAGCACCGGGCTGCCTCCTTAGGGGCGTGAGTGTGAGCTGGCGTCGTCAACACGGCCCCGAGCTGCCCGCCTGTCTCGCTCTGGGAACACCCCAGAGCTCCCGACTGACTTTCTCTTACCAATGAACACAGAGAGGGCCACCCAGACGTTTGAGGTAAAGCCTCTAACATGAAATTTGGAGGCCAAAAAACAAACAAAAAGCCAGAGTTTAAAACAAACAAACAAACAAACAAAAACCTCAAAGAGAGGAGACACAACATGGAGAAAAGCAGAAAAAAACCACATATCACGAATGTTTCCAGAGAGACGGGGAGAGGATGAGGCATCCACAAAGCACACAAGGATGCTATAAAAAAGGAGACTCCCAGAGCAGAAAAGAACCCTGAAAAATAAAACATAGGAGGACTAAAGTAAAAATTTCAGCAAAATGGGTGGAACTTAAAACTGAAAAAAAAAAAACAATAAAAAAAATAAAACACCCAGAAAGTAGAACAAAAAGATAATGAAATGGGCAATAAGAGAGAAAAAAAAAAAAAAAAAAAAGAACACAAGGGGCTCGCTCCAGGGACGCCTGACTGAAAAGCACTGCAGAAAGGAAAAAGGGGGGAACAACTTATTTTCTGAATATAATAAAATTTCCCAGAACGAAAGGCCACACGGTACACACAATGAGTGACTATCACATTAGTGTGAGATTTCAGAATACCAGTGACAAAAGACCTGACATTTCCCCAGAATTTTAAAAAACAAACAAAACAGACCACACACAAAGAATGGGGGATACGGATATCATTAAACTTTTCAAAAGTCACCCAGAAGCTAGACACCACCACCCTCAACGTTCTGAGAGATGATGCTCTCCAACCGGGATCCACACCTCACCAGAGGGTCAAGATGGCAGGCAAGCGCCGCCAGCCCCGGCAGACCGACATGTTAGCTCACGGGAGAATAAACAGCCTAGAAATGATGCAGCACATGAAAAAGGCCCTTTTTTGGGGGGTGAGGGTGGGGGAATACTATAGAAAGTGTTTTTAAAAAAAGAAAATGTCACCATAATACATTTCTTGGCTCAGCAGTAAACATTGTTTACAAGGTCATGACAATTTACTTTTTTTTGAATTATTTTATATTCATATTATATTCACATTTATTATGTATTTATGACTGGGAAGCAAGCTTAAACATTTTAGGCAGCAAGGGCCATGGCAATTTAAACGCTGACTCCGTGTGCAGGTCTCCTGGAATAAAGGGGAGAGGGAGGAGGGGTTGGGGTGGGTGGAGGGGCAGGAGCTAGATGTGCTCCTGCTGTAAGAGAAAGTCAAAAGATAACTCCTGAAACAGATGAATCGAGAAAAAGCAGGAAAATACTATCATTTAAAACCCGGAGGCAATGCCAGAGAAACAGCTCCAATACTGCAAGTGGCTCTCTGGCTCTGGAAGCTGGTCCTGGGGGAGAGGGATGGGCGGGACCAGCCGCTGCTTCTTATTAGAAGCCGCTGTCGGCATTATTTCACTTCTAAACCACGTGCGTGCATTGCTCTGATAGAATAAATGTAACAAGAGCTCTTAAGAAGTCACAGATTTACTCACCTTTTGTTTCAGTTCATGTGTGTCACTGGAAATGAATTCAATCACGTATGGCATCTCAATAGACATAGTCAAAGAGAAGCTACCAGAAAGGAAGACAAAGCTGTCTTAGTCTATTGTCTTAAATCTCTACCTGAAGTTGTTTCAAATAATTTTAATCTATTATTATTCTTAATTTTTGAACTCCTGTATTTTTTATTTTAATTAAAAAGTTTTTCTAGGCCGGGCGTGGTGGCTCACGCCTGTAATCCCAGCACTCTGGGAGGCCGAGGTGGGCAGATTGCTCGAGGTCAGGAGTTCAAACCAGCCTGAGCAAGAGCGAGACCCCGTCTCTACTATAAATAGAAAGAAATTAATTGACCAACTAAAAATATACAGAAAAAATTAGCTGGGCACGGTGGCGCATGCCTGTAGTCCCAGCTACTCGGGAGGCTGAGGCAGGAGGATCGCTTGAGCCCAGGAGTTTGAGGTTGCTGTGAGCTAGGCTGACGCCACGGCACTCACTCTAGCCTGGGCAACAAAGTGAGACTCTGTCTCAAAAAAAAAAAAAAAGTTTTTCTTTTGTAGGGTCAGGGTCAGGTTTCTTTTGTAGAGTCAACTCCCTATGTTGTCCAGGTTGGTCTCAAACTCCTGGACTCAAGTGATCCTCCCGCCTCAGCCTCCCAGCGTGTTGGGATTACAGGTGTGAGCCCCCACACTGGCCTGTTTCAAATAATTTTAAATGAAAATTTAAACCATAAAACTAACATCCTACTGAGTGATTGACAGATTATATATTCTAGCTACTAACCTTTGCTTTGTTCCTATTTCCTTTATACAAATCTTCTTTACTGCATCCTGTTAAAAAAATATACATACATGTGTAACTAAGTATGTGTTAAGGTTCATAGTGAGCCTCTAAACTGAATATATTCCCAGCACAGCCACCGCTGCCAGCAGCAAGACAGCTGTTGTCCCTTCCAAGTAGTGAAACAGAGCATTTGCTCCTGGAATGACAGGAGCTTCTAAAACACAACTGGCCATTTGGACAGACACACATACATACACACACGTTTTATATGCACGCACTGTACCTACAAAGTAGGAAGTCTGGCAGGCAGGGATATACCAAACCATTACCCAGAGGCTATCTCTGGACCAAGGAATTAAGGATGACTTCAATTTTCCTATTTTGGCTTATTGGCATTCTCTGTGCTCATCTAGACTCTTCATGATGCATAGATACAGAATTTTTCTGACAAAATAAAAATGCTATGCCCACTGAGCATATTCTTTCCCTTTTACAGACATAATGTGTCTGAACACATAGACGCCAGTAAAATTGACTTTCTAAAAGCTTATTTTAGATACTTTTATCTTCCCTAGGCATAAATCTCTAGGAAAAGGCTTCTTCGGATCTTCAGCGACAAACCTGCAGGTTTTCGTTCAGAGCCCCGTCCTGCTGCCAGGGCGCGACGGCGGCGGGCATGAAGAAGACAGCGGCGGCACCCTGGAAGCTGAGCTCCGTGACGTAGGTGATTTTGATGAGAACCTTAGCCTTGGGGGGTAAGTTTCCAACGCTTACAGTAAAAATGTCCTGAAAGAGAGACACATGACTTAGCTTGCAACCCTAAAGCACACTCATTCTCATATTTATTCAAATGACCTGAAGCACAATCTGCCAAATTCTTGCTCAGAAGGCAGTAAAGGAGCCGGCAGCACACAGCGGCGCTGCTAAAGGAGAATCCCGAAGCCATTTGCCAGCGTGGGGTGGGGTGGGGTGGGGTGGGGTGGGGTGTCTGCAGGAGGTGGAGGGAGGGGGGTCCCCTTGGCAGCTGAGCTGGGGACAGTCACCCGGGGACTCTGCCCCAGCAGCCTGGCACGTGCAGCTCTGCTGCTCGGTGGGCTCTGCAGCATGGATGCCTCCCCGCAGCCACACACAGTTCTTTCCTGCAGAACCCCTGGGCACCCCCCACCCCCACCCCCACGGCCCCAACCCCGATCCACCAGCAGCTGCAGAACCAGAGCAGCTTCCGCTAAGCGTGGCCTTACTTAATGCTGTTACCCAGAGTAAACCCCAGCAACCAGGTAGGGCTCCACCGTCAGAGGGGACACGGGCAGAAGCTACCTCCCTACTGGGGAGGGCAAGAGACCCTCCCGGACCCAGCTCCCTGCCTGAGCGCAAAGCAGGGGTTGCTACCACTGGAGGAAAGGCAGGAAATGGTCCCTGGCACAAGTCTCAACAGGCGCGGGCAGCATGTGGCACCGCTGGGGTGGGAAAATGCATGCAGTGCAAAGGCCCAGGAGCACAGGTCCTGCCTAAGACGGAGGCCGACCCAGAGCACCCTGCCCCTAACACAAGTCTAGCACTGAGTACCAAGTACCCACAGTCTGCTGCCGGGGAGGGGCAGCCTCGCAAACGCACCCCAGGCCTCTACACGTACAGCGTGCCCGGGGGCCAGCATCACTAATTGTTTAATAATCGCCTCTTCATTGCTGGTTCCCACCCTGCAAATGGGTATCTTAGACATCAAAAGTAATAATTCACCCCTTAAATCTAAATTGATCTTTAATATCCCCCACCCCCAGCAGACATCAAACATTCACAATGCTATGGCAACGAGTCACCCTCAGAGATGAGACCTGAAGCCAGATCTGCAAAAACAGCTAAAACACGCGCACCAGAGACACATTTAAGATATATTTAAGAAAAGAAGTCTAGTGGCCGTGTTAGCTGTTCCTTCTTCCAGGCTGTCCACCCCATATCCCTCTCAAAGCTGATCATCAGAAAGCACAGAGGCTCGACCTCTCTCAGAACACTGCAGAAATGCCTCGATAAATTGCTAGGTGAGGCCGGGCGCGGTGGCTGACGCCTGTAATCCTAGCACTCTAGGAGGCTGAGGCGCGAGGATCACTTGAGGTCAGTAGTTTGAAACCAGCCCCAGCAAGAGTGAGACCCCGTCTCTACTAAAAATAGAAAGAAATTAATTGGCCAACTAAAAATACACAGAAAAAATTAGCTGGGCATGGCGGTACATGCCTGTAGTCCCAGCTACTTGGGAGGCTGAGGCAAGAGGATTGCTTGAGCCCAGGAATTTGAGGTTGCTGTGAACTAGGCTGACGCCATGGCACTCTAGCCCGGGCAACAGAGTGAGACTGTCTCAAAACAACAACAACAAAAATATTGCTGGGTGAGCTTGCTTCTAGGAAAATTGTAAATATATAATACCCTTTTATCTGAAGATGAAAATTAGGTACCCCAAACATTTTCTTTTTGTCATCATTTCTGCGACACTCAGTTCCCGATGACAGGACTAGCTCTTCCTGTTTGTCTGGTGCAACTGACACCGTTTCCTCCTTGTTTAGACAAGTCAGATGGGTCTGACCCGCTTAGCTTACAGCTAGTGAAACTCTAGGCAGGGGTCCTCAAACTACGGCCCCGGCCCCGAGGGCCACATGCGGCCAGCTGAGGACATTTATCCGGCCCGCCGGGTGTTTTTGCCGCCGCTGCCTGTTCTGCTTAGCAGCCGACTCGTCCCAGACCCACAGTGCGCGTGTGTGGAATGTGCCCGCACTCTCCAATGGCCCTCCAATGGTCTGAGGGACAGTGACCTGGCCCCGTTTAAAAACTTTGAGGACCCTGCTCTAGGGTCTAAAATAGTATAAGTTAATCTTGGCCTCCAGTGTGAATTTCACCTTTCAAATCCTTTCCCTTTTCCCCCCTTAAGTGCGCTGACCAGGGGGTGAGCCCAGAGCCTTACCGGAGCGTGCTGGTCCATCAGGTACGCGCCGTGGCCCTGGCTGACGGCTTCGCGGTATTCCCGCTGGGCTTCCTCCTTCTCCTTAACCTGGAAAGGGTTATTTTAAAACCACTCCTTACATGAAGAATGACTTCAGACTGTAACAAGGAAAACTACATCAATGGTTATGAAAACCTAGGCATAAAGAGCAAACTAAGGGTGTATGATAAATGGAAACATACAAGGTGATCATCAAAATGTACCGATACTTACCTGGTAAGAATCTGAACCGGAAAAGGCCAACTAAAGAGCATTCTCTTTAGGTTGAGACCAAAATATTTCAGAGTCCATAGTGGAAAAAAAATGTTTGGTTGGGACTTTGTGCTGAACAAAAAAATAATGTTTATTTTCAGTTTAATAAATTGCGGGTTAGGATCGCAACTGTGTGAGCCAATCCTTGGAATAAACGAAGAGTGAGTCAACTGTTATTTCTTTGGGTACCATTTGTTTTTAGAATGCTACAAGAGCCTTCACTTCAGTTTGATTTTTTTTTTTTTGAGACAGAGTCTCACTCTGTTGCCCAGGCTAGAGTGAGTGCCGTGGTGTCAGCCTAGCTCACAGCAACCTCAAACTCCTGGGCTCAAGCAATCCTTCTGCCTCAGCCTCCCGAGTAGCTGGGACTACAGGCATGCGCCACCATGCCCGGCTAATTTTTTCTCTATATATTAGTTGGCCAATTAATTTCTTTCTATTTATAGTAGAGACGGGGTCTTGCTCTTGCTCGGGCTGGTTTCGAACTCCTGACCTCGAGCAATCCTCCCGCCTCAACCTCCCAGAGTGCTAGGATTACAGGCGCGAGCCACCACACCTGGCCTTCAGTTTGATGTTTATAGCAGGGTGGAAGGATCAGTTTTTGCAAAAATATATAAGGGGTTCACCAATTTTCCGATCTGCTTCTCTTAAACTTTTGATACTGAAATCTCTCTCTTTTGAAGAGCCCATGCAAAGAATTTGCAAGAGGCTGCTGATGAAGCCTGGACGGGCAGGGGCAGAAAGCAGCCCACCCGGGAGGGGCGTCTGGGTGGGGACTAACTGTGTAAGAGTTGGCTCTTCAAAGATTATTCTTGTTTTGCGATGAGGCCTCCACTCAACCTTATCGCCACGGGGACTCGGAAAACGAACGGGAAACCAACTCTGAAGGCCACGAGGGGTCACGATGCTTCCCTCTCCTCACCTCTCCTACTATGTGCTTCCCGTTGATGAAAGCCTCAAAGCCACACACGGCCGCCTTCTCATCCAAAGGAAAGATGTATTTCGCCTCGATGGGCACGGGACTTTGATTTGTGTACGTCTGAAAAACAACCACCTGAAGGAGGGAAGAATGCGTATATGTGATGAGACCATATGGAAGAACATTTGCAGGAACAATGACTAAATAAAGACAATTTTGCTTATTTGTATTAAATTCCTTCCAATTTAATCACATCCCTCGAATGTCCCAACCCTGGCTCCGGGGGCTGGCCCATTCCAGCTCGGCCATGTCGAGTCCACACCACGTGATGAAGTGCACCGGCTGCCTGTTTAGGTGGCTCAGACGCAGCGGACTGGAATATAAACCACCTGCAGTCACACCAACACCGGGTACTCAGCAGAGATAATGCAGCTTTTGTTACGACAGCTGGAAAACCAGCCCCTTTCGGGGTCTGATGCCTCCTTAAGTGTCACGTGGGCTGGAAACTATTCCAGAAAAGTCCTTCTATCCGATCTGTTTTCAGGTGTTGGCATTTCCTCCTGGAGGTGTCTCTGTGGCCTTCCCCTGTCCACACAGCCCTCTGGTGGTTTCTCCTCACCTCTTCCTTCCTCAGTCCTTCCAGAATCCAGTTTTTTCCACTCCTTAGTTCCCATCTGTCATCTATTGTTTTCCTATTCATCTTTCTAACAGACTCTCTATCAGACACCCTCCCTGACCCAGTCCCCTCCCACTGTCTCCTTCCCCACTCTGCTCCGGCCACAGCGGCCTCCTTGGTGTCCCCTGGCCACACCTGGCTCCCACCTCAGGGCCTTTGCACATGCTGTTCCCTCTGCCTGCAACGAGTGTCCCGAGGTCCACACGGGTTAGCTCCCGGCTCCTTCAGGGCTGTGGGCAGATGTCGCCTTCTCGGTGAGGCCTCCCCAGCTCCCAGGTTAAACCTTCCTGTGCAGCGCCTACCCCCTTCTGCTTTGACTTTTCTCTTTAGCACCTGTCCTCACCTAAGCGTCGTGTGTTTCACTCATTTATCGTGTTTATTGCCTGCACGTGTTTATATCCCTGCACGTGCTTCACGAGGGCAGAGCTATTGTGCTGTGCCCTGCGGGTGCCCAGAGACTAGGACAGTCCCTGGCATGTGGCACTCAGGGACTATCTGATGAATACGTGAAGTTTAGAAACATATATATTAATATTTTCTTTTGTTCACGTAACTGCAATTAAATTCTCACTTATGATTTACATCCATTTAATTTAAGTATCATAAGGCCACCAAGAACATACCTGGGCTACGAAGTCTATTATTCGCCCCTTGATGTGGACGTCCTCGAGGGGGACCAGGTTCCCAGAGGGGTCCTGCAGGCCGGCCTTGACATCGCTGGGAGGTTTGCTGTCTGGTAACTGGTAATCTGCATTAAACAAGTTATTGTTAGCTTTGAAAACCACCCTGACTGTCTCTTTTGTTATTCTGGTCTTTTCATTCCTTATCCATCTCGTTACCTATTATATTTTAGGGAAAATGAACAGATATCATTTTATAATCTTCAATAGCCAATTCTGAAACGGGAACCCACGTGAGAAAAAGGGGGGTGCAATCTCAAAGACACTTTTGCCTTTTTAATATAGAGGCTCGGAGGCATTATGTTAAAAACCCACAATTACGTTATCACTTGAAAGACAAACATTTAAACATACACACAAGCACAAAGAGGTCTCAAGACTATCTCAGTAAGCTCGGCTAGAACACGAATGTAGCTATTTGCATCCCCTGGCTTGTAATGTGGACTAGGCCGGTCACTGTTATTAACTGTGCCACAAAAGCATTTTGGAGCAACATGAAACTACCTGGATTTTCATCCCAACGAAGACTAAATCAAACGCCTACAGCACATTGAAAAATGTTACTTAGTAACACATAAATACAGACAGGGTTAAATATATAAATACATAATGTCTTGCCAGATATTTCTTTTAATGACTCCCAGAGAAAAAATTGGAGTCATCTCCTTGAACATATATGAACTCATACATTTCCGATAAAAACCAATTTGATCAGCTGGGCGTGGTGGCTCACACCTGTAATCCTAGCACTGTGGGAGTCCGACGTGGGAGGATCGCTCAAGGTCAGGAGTTCAAAACCAGCCTGAGCAAGAACGAGACCCTGTCTCTACTAAAAATAGGAAGAAATTAATTGGACAACTAAAAATATATAGAGAAAATATTAGCCAGGCATGGTGGCGCATGCCTGTAGTCCCAGCTACTCGGGAGGCTGAGGCAGGAGGATCACTTGAGCCCAGGAGTTGGAGGTTGCTGTGAGCTAGGCTGACGCCACAGCACTCTAGCCGGGCAACAGAGTGAGACTCTGTCTCAAAAAAAAAAAATTTGATCACAAAAATGTTAACGTGTTTTTGCAGTCCTATTAGTATTAATTCTTATCATAAGAGTTTGGGCTCATGATTTTCTGAGCTATAACCCTCTCATATGCGTCTACTACTACTACTACTACTACTAACACACAAGCCACACGTGACAACTTACAGAGAACCTTCACTTGCCCCTTCAGTGTCTGTGGGTACTGCTCTCAACCCACCTGAGCGAAGGTGAAGCTCAGGTCATGTGGTTTGTCCAAGATTACAGAGACGATGAGCTGGCAAGGTGACCCCAAACCTCCTGGACTTCCTGACTCCACGGCGGGGCCAGGTGTCCGTTCTACTCACCATCTCTGGGTGGGGAACCTGCCACCGTGGGGCCATGTGTGGCCTTCTGGATCCTTGAGTGCAACCTTTTGACTGAATCCCAATTTTATGCAACAAATCCTTTTAATAAAGGGATTTTGTTCTCTGAAGTTTGGATTTAGTTGAGGGGCTACCTTTGGGGATCCAGAGAGCCACATGTGGTGGCCTTGAGGCTGCAGGCTCCCCACCCCTGGTGGCTCTTCCTGAGGAGAACAAGCTCAATTTTGGTGTGTTAATGAAATAACTTGGATTTTGAGATCATTTAACCTTTCTCAAGCATCCTGGTTTTATGGAATACAAAATAAAAAAGGAAATGAAATATTTATGTATGAGGTGTACTTACCAAACATGCATATAAATTCCATTAAAAATATAACATTTGAGTTCTATAAATATAATCACATAAAACTGTATTCAAGAGAATTGTCTTACCTTCAACCTTTGAAAAACCTGAAAACTCAGGTCTGTGTTCCTCTAACTCAGTATTATCCGGAGGATGAAAGTCCTTTATTTGATCTCCAGGCATGCAAAATTTAACAACATATTTCATTTTAACCTGGTTGGTTTTGTAGACAACAAATTCATCATCCTAGAGCAAACAGAAATTAATAGGTGGTTAAAAACAACAACAACAAACCATTGTTGGCAGATGTTCTCATAAAAGCATGTTTGCTAATTTAGAAAATACTGAATTCAGGCAATAAATGTATAATAATTATGTAGCTGGGCACGGTGGCTCACGCCTATAATCCTAGCACTCTGGGAGACCAAGGTGGGAGGATCGCTCAAGGTCAGGAGTTCGAAACCAGCCTGAGCAAGAATGAGACCCGGTCTCTACTATAAATAGAAAGAAATTAATTGGACAACTAAAAATATATATAGAAAAAATTAGCCGGGCATGGTGGCGCATGCCTGTAGTCCCAGCTACTCGGGAGGCTGAGACAGGAGGATCACTTAAGCCCAGGAGTTTGACGTTGCTGTGAGCTAGGCTGATGGCTCTAGGTGGGGGTAGCACTCTAGCCTGGGCAACAGAGTGAGACTCTGTCTCAAAATAAATAAATAAATAAATAAATAAATAAAGATGTGAGCTTGAGCATATTATGTAAACTTAAGAATATTTAATGAAAATAGGAACAAAAAAACTGAGGCTATTCTTTGGGCATTCAGGACCCTTGCTGCCTGTTTCCTGATATAAAAATACCTCAAAGTCCGTGGCGACAGAGGCGGTTTCTGAAACTCCATGCACACTGTCGTAGCCGGCCGGTGCTCCAGTTAAGGAAGAGTCCTTCTTGTGCAAGTCCACACACTTTCCCAGGGCCACGTCACAAACCACCAGGAGCCTGGTGCCATCTGTCTCCCCTGGGTGTGAATACTTAACACTTGTGCTGTACGTCAAAGGCAATGAACACATATTTACAACTTACAGTTCCTTGTTAATGACATTTTATTGCATAAATAGGAAATACTGTTGAAAAGACTTCTGGTAGATCATTCAAACTTTAAATTGCTATTGAAATATCTCCAAGAGTCAATTTAGAAGTTTATTATGCATTTATTTACTTAAAATTTTAATGTAACAAACATGTACATTGCCCTTATGCTGTGCCAGGCAGTGCTCAAAGCACTTTGTTCCCAGAGATGGATGAATTCTACTGTTGCCCCAAATCTTTGTTAGCTACTAAAATACACACATTTTGCTATCCATAATCACCAGCATGGTTAACGACAAGAAAAGAACCCCACCTTGTTAATCAGGAAAAAGGAGATTTAATTCTCTGCACTAACGTTCAGAAAGGGCTTGATGTTTTCATTAAACAGCAAGGGAGTGAGAACGGGTCAAAGGGACAGACGTGCATTGTACTCCCACAAAGGCTCCTGAAACCACATGGAAAAGCAAGAATTCCAAACGATACCCAAATGAGAGACACTGTCTCACCTTTCTTTGGGAATCAGCAACTTTAATAAAGCAACTTTTGCCAGTAATATTAGGAGCACAGGTGAGTACACACATCTCTGGGGGCAACATTTTGGGGACACACCTTTATTTTCTTTTAAAAATCAAGTCCTAAATGTAAAACTGCTGCTGTAGGACCCTTCCTTGTTCCACCTCGTAAGACTTGCACTTAAACAAAACAAAAATTTCTCCCATTTCTCCTTCAGCCCTCTCCCTTCTGAGGGCTCTCTCCCCGCAACTTACAAGCCTGCGTTCTTCCTCCTCCTCAAGCCCAACCCGGGACTTGGTCCTGGGGCTCCTCCCGTCCACCTCCTTCCTCTCGCACCGCCTCTTGGCTGGGGGGCCGGTGACCGTCTCTTCTTACTCAATCCTCTGCAATTTGGCTCAATTCATGTCTCTCCACTAAAGCCACTCTGCTGGAAGTCACTGAGGACTTCAATTTTCCCAAAATCAACTGAGTGCCGATCTATTTTTTTTTTTAAATATTGTAACATCTAAAAAATTTTTACTTTGAACTATTTTGTACATAGGAAAAAGCATTTACATGACAGACATCTGAAGAATAATAAGACAGAGGAGGGAGGAGAGATGGAGGCTGAGAAACACCTCCAGCCAGAGCATCTCTGCAAGAAGGAAAGATTTTTTAGATGAAAGAGAAAAAACCAGACAAACATAGATCAGATGAGGGTCGGAAGGAAGGGTGCCTGACCCTACAGGAGACTCCACGGCAAGAAGCTGGGGAGCAGAACTGGAAGGCAAAAGGCATATGGCGGGGATTCAGCCCCGAGAGGTTCAGAGACTAGCGAGAAGGACAGGCGAAGCAGTTAATGTCCCCTCCTTCGCATCTCGGACTGCTGGTGGCTCCCGAGCTGCTGGAGAGCCCTGCCGACACTAGCCCAGAGGCTGCTGCCACCAGTGAGCGGAGAGCCTCTTGCGGACAGGGCACCAGCTCCCAGCTCCCTCCGGATACCTCCTGTCCCACAGATCCGAGCTGGCCAGCAAGCGCCATGTTGCTTCTCTACCCACTGGGCACTTCTGTCCTCCTGGGGGCCTCATCTCCTCACGATCCACCTTGCTCATCCCCACACAGACATTTCCCAACTCCGGCCCAGACTGCAGGAGCCACAGGGGTCCAGTGGGCCCCAGGAGATCTGCAGGACTCCAGAGCCCGGTCATTCTAGGAGGCCTGCCTCTCGGAGAGACGATTGGAGACTACTGGTGTGCAACCCTTCCTCCACCTAGTCCTTCATTCTCCCCTTCCCTTCCTCTACCCATGGCTGCTGAGAGAGACAATTTAACCACCGCACAGAGACAGCCACAGGAAACAGGACTCAGACCTTTCCTTTTGGGGCCCTGCAGTGGACTGAAGGGTGCTCAGACCGTGAGCTCTACCCGCCAGCCCTTCCTGGTGCTGCTTGCCCAGTGACGCCAGCACAATGGGACAAACCCTGAGGCAGAGGGACACTGATCCAGCTTGGGCACCCAGTGGGTGACTTGGGACCAGCATTCTTCTCCCTGGCACAGTCAGGGATTGATCTCTGGGGCACGTGGACAGGCCTGTAGGCCAGATCCCGTACACCCAGGTCTCCACCGAATTGCCTGGGGCCACAGAGGAGATATCTGTGAATTAGTCTACTGAGGAGTGTGTGACCTCAGGGCAGATCAGAGTGGGTCCCAGTTCAGGACAGGATCCTGGGCAGGGAACCTCCTGGGCTGCGTCACAGCTGTGGGGGAGCTCAGCTGGCTTCAGGTCCTGCCTCCAACAGAGGCCCAGGAGAAACCAAGGAATAGGGGAGGGCAGAAAGGAGAGAGGCCTACTCCAGACTGCTAGACTGTGGGTCTCAGACAGCCCAACCCCCACACCCAGACTTTCTGGTTCAGTGGGGCCACTTCAGCCCCTCCCTGGCAGCTTTGGCCAGAGGCGGGGAATAGACCTTTGACCCTGGTGACAGCATTTGTGGAACTTGAGTTCAGGCTTGCCCCACCCAGCCCGATCCTGCCTCACTCCCCGATCTGCTCCCACTGAGGTGGAGAATAAGGACACACCTGGAAGTCCCAGGGGCCCCACCACCACCTGGGGTACTAGAGTGCTTCTCCAGAGGAAGGAGAGCTGGTCACGGGACCAAAAACAACACCGCAGCTTGCTCCTCCCAGTAAGCACTGCCTACTGACAGGAAGGTCAATCTGCACACACTTTTACTGCATCTACTGACTCATCATACAAGGTGTGGTCAAATCTCACCCGCAAACACCACCTTCTGGCTCAGAGACAAAACTGGGCGTGTCATTGTCTAAATGAAAATTCAAAGGTAAGAAGCAACAGCTGCTCCAGGTGGGAAGGAATCAACAAAAGAACTTCAGAAGTATGAAGAATCAAATGAAAGGACACCCCTAAAAGGGAACACTAGCTCTCTAGCAATGGAAACCAACCAAAATCAGAACACTAAAATGATGGAAAAATTTCTGACATGGATTATAAGAAAACTCAATTAAATGCAAGAGAAAATGGATACCCAACACAAAGAAACCACACACACATACAAATCCAGGAAACAGAAGAAAAATTCACTAAAGAAATTGAAATATTAAAGAAAAATCAAATAGAACTGAAAATGAAGAATTTATTCAAAGAATTATAAAACACAGTGGAAAGCCTCAAGAATAGTCTAGATCAAGCAGAAGAAACAATCTCAGGGATTGAAGATAACATCTTTCAACTAAGTCAGTCATAGAGATAGAGCAGACAAATAAAAGAGCAAAGCCTACAAGAAATGTGGGATTATGTGAAGAGGCCTAACATAAGAAGCATATGCATCCCTGAGGATGAAGAAGAAAATATACAAGGGTTAGATAAACTATTTGAGGATATAATGGAGGAAAATTTCCCTGGCCTTGCTAGAAATCTACATAAGGTACAAGAAGCTCAAAGGACTCCTGGGAGTGTCACTGCAAACAGGAAGACACCACGACAAACAGTCATCAAACTGACCAAGATAACCACCAAAGAGCCCCTTCTGCGAGCGGTAAGGAGAAAGCAGCAGGTAACATACAAAAGAAAACCCATCAGACTAACTGCTGCTTCTCAACTGACACCTTACAAGCCAGAAGGGACTAGGGCCACATTCTCAGTCTTCTCAAACAGAATAATGCCCAGTCGAGAATTTTGTATCCTGCAATACTAAGTTTCTTATACAAAGGAGAAATAAAGACCTTCTCAGACAAGCAAAGACTGAGGGAATTCATCAAGACAAGACCTTATCCTCCAGGAAGTACTCAGTAATATGCTGAAATTTAAAATAGATAGATAGATAGATAGATAGATAGATAGATAGATAGATAGATAGATAGAAGAGGGACAGGTCATAGGAGGCCAAAGAAGATTCTATAACGTAAGGATGAGAATGCCTACTTCACAGTGGCTGGCACTGTGAGGAACGAATTCTATAGTGTACATGAAAGTGCTTTTAGAATAAATACTCTCTTGTATTCCCAGGAGGAAAAAAAAAAAAAAAAAAAAGAATAGTAAGACAAACATCCACACAGCTACCGACCAGCTAAGAACTAGAATATCCCAATATTTCCATGCTTCCTGATGGCATCATCTTCTCTCCCACCCAAAGCTAATCTAACCACTGTCTAGATTTTCGTGTATATTATTTTCTTTCTTTCATAGTACTGCTACACAAAAATGTGTGTATGTGTCCCTCAACAATATAATGTACAGTTTTGCTTGTTTTTGAATTTTACTTATATATATAGAATTGTATAGTAATTTTCGGTCTACTATGCTCCTAAGTCTCGTCCATTGGACACATGCAGCTGTTGTCCAGTTGTTTCACCTGCAGCGCAGGACTCCTCCACCAACATTTATGGATCCGTTCTACTGTCAATGGACACCGGTATCTCTTCCAGTGTCCTGTGATTACAGTGTTCTCAGCCACCCTGTGCATGTCTATATGTGTTCTACAGCTTTTCTAGGGTAGTGACTCCTAAGCCTGGCTGCATGCTGAAATCACCCAGGAAGCTTAAAAACTACCGATGATAGCCAAGCCTTGCCACAGGACATCCTGACTTAGCTGTTGTGGGGTGAGACCAGTGCCACTGGTGCATCAGGCTTACCCAGGGCATTGTGTGCAGGCAGCACTGAGAACACTGCTTCCTGGCCCCCAGGCCAATTAGCAGGACTCCTGGGCCACAGCTGTACCAGATGAGCCAAGCTTTCAAGAGGGTTTATCAATTCACACTCTTACCAGCAATGATTGAGAGTTCAGATTGTTCTAGAGATCCAGTAACACCTACAGATGTGAAAGTTGTTGTTTTTTTTTTCTGAGACAGAGTCTCCTTTGTTGCCTGGGCTAGAGTGAGTGCTGTGGCGTCAGCCTAGCTCACAGCAACCTCAAACTCCTGGGCTCAAGCAATCCTACTACCTCAGCCTCCCAAGTAGCTGGAACTACAGGCATGAGCCACCATGCCCAGCTAATTTTTTCTATCTATATTAGTTGGCCAATTAATTTCTTTCTATTTATAGTAGACACAGCATCTCACTCTTGCTCAGGCTGGTTTCAAACTCCTGACCTTGAGCAATTGGCCCATCTTGGCCTCCCAGAGAGCTAGGGAAAGTCATTTTTTATTTTTGTCAATCTGCTAGGGTGAAATGGTATCCCATTATGGTTTAATTTGCATGGCTTTGACTACTAATCTTTTCAGACATTATTATCCATTTATGTTTCCTTTTCTATTAGGTTTCCATTCACGTCCTTTGCCCATTTGCTTACGGGGTTTTCATCCTTTTCTTATTACTTGTAGGAACTCTTTAAACATCCTGGATAATTACCCCTTTGTCCTGGACCTGAACCCAGCCTCCAGCCCTTACCTGGGCCCTGCAACCTTCGGCAAGTTGCACAACCTCCCTGAGTCTGTTTCCTTTCATAAAATGATGCCACGATACCAACGGTGAGGTTGACAGAAGATGCGCTTAGAGCCCCTCACCTGGTGCCTAGCACAGGTGGGCACTCAATACATTGTGACTCGTATGAAGGCAGATTTAAATATTACAAAGGATACTGAAAATGAAAATAATATTCCAGGTATATCGAGGTCACATATAATAGATGAACTGCTTAGAGGAGAGATTCTGTACCGTAGAAGTTAAGATTGCCGTCCCTGTACAAAGCCTGACCGGAAAGCTGAGTCCTGCCGGTGTCCTGTTTTAGCTGCATGACCTGAAGCACAATACCCTCACTGTCCCTCAGTGTTCCCATCTGTAATCTGGGGACAACGATAGGACTTACCTCAGGGGGATGGTGTAAGGACTCCGTGAGAAAATACATGTAAAGACTCTAGGAGAGTAAAATCACTAAGATGATTTCAAGTATAATTTTCCCCAATATTTAGCACAAAAGACATGCTTCTACAGTATACTGAGAAAACTGGTTGGTTTTAGTGAATTTCTGGGGGCGATAAACTCCCTTACTAAGCAAAGACAGAGGAAAACGCATAGCAAGCACCCACCGACGATTCCTTGATTACGGACAGAACATACCTGAGTGAATCACTGAAGTAAATCCCACTCCCAAGATTTCCAACATCCGTTCTTTTCACGCCACGATCTTCAACTACTTTGGGTAAAAGCAGTCCTCTAAAAAGAAAAGGAAATTTTAATGATCAACTATAAAAAAAAAAAAGAATCTTTTATTATAGTCTTGTAATTCTAACAGAGGTAGCTACTATTTTAAAAAAAAGCATAAAATGAAAAGAAAAGCACATTTCAAAGTAATCCCCCAGAGAAGCTCTGGGTACCATTAAGATGTCACAGGCTGAGGCCCAGCGCAGTGGCACAGGCCTGTAACCCCAGCACTTTGGGAGGCTGAGGTGGGAGGATCGCTGGAGCCCAGGAGTTCAAGGTCGCAGTAAGCTATGATTGCGCCACTGCACTCCAGCTGGGATGGCAGAAGGAGACCGTCTGTAAAAATACTACTACTGCTGCTGCTAATAATAAGAAGAAGTCACAAACTGCAGCCAGTCTCTCATCACCATGGGAACCAGCCCCAGGCTGCCAGCCCTATTTCCTGCACCCTCCAGGCCTAGGCTGAAGCCCCAGTGCATAGCTGGGTGAGGGGCTGACCGCATCTCTCCCTGGCTCAAGAATTGCTGCAGAGAACTCCTTGCAAACAAAGCAAAACCATGGTTATTTATGGGATGGTAGATAAAGGAAGATTTCTGCCTTTTATTATACAAACATCTATTGTTTGTGGCTTTGGGTTTTGATCTTACTGAGAAGGGCCATTCCTGCTCAAAGATTATTTTAAAAAATATCCTCCCATTTTTCGCTTAGTACTTTTATGTTTTCATTTTAGATATTTAAATATTTGCTCTATCTAGAGTTTACTTATGAGGAATGAGGTAAGAGTCTAACTTTATACTTTTTCCAGGTGGTTATCCACTTATTTCTGTATATAATATGGAAGAAACTATCTTTCACTATCCAAAATCTTCTATGTTTTTGAGTTCATTTGTGTTTATTTAATATGTTTGAGTGTCTGGTTGGTTAACCCTCTCTTACTACTCTTCTTTTTCAGAATTATCCTCATAATGTCAAAAAATTTTAAAATATGTGCTGTAGAATCAGTTTTTTATTTAAAAAATCTTAATAGTACTTTTATTATGATAAAACACTAAATTTATAGATTAGTTCTATAAATTAGATTTATAGCACTAAATTTATAGATTAGTTCAAGGAAAATTAGTATCCTTCTGGTTGATGCAATTTGTATTTTGGGTCCTTTAACAGCAGTTTAAAGTTATTTATTTATTTATTTTGGGCACTCCCCAATACATTGTGACTCGTATGAGGGCAGATTTAAATGATTAAAAGGATACTGAGAATGAAAATAATATTCCAGGCATACGATGGGTCACATATAATAAGATGAACTGCTTAGAGGAGAGATTCCTGTACCGTAGAAGTTAAGATTTCGTCCCTGTACAACCTGACCGGAAAGCTGAGTCCTGCCCGTGTCCTGTTTTTAGCTGCATGACCTGAAGCACAATACCCTCACCGTCCTCCAGTGTTCCCATCTGTAATCTGGGGACAGATAGGACTTACCTCAGGGGAATAGTGTAAGGACTCCGTGAGAAAATATGTAAAGACTCTAGGAGAGTAAAATCACTAAGATGATTTCAAGTATAATTTTCCCCAATATTTAGCACAAAAAGACATGCTTCTACAGTATACTGAGAAAACTGGTTGGTTTTAGTGAATTTCTGGGGCATAAATCCCTTACTAAGCAAACCAGAGAAAACGCATAGCAAGCAACCCACCGACGATTCCTTCGATAACGGACAGAACATACCTGAGTGAATCACTGAAGTAAATCCCACTCCCCAAGATTTCCAACATCCGTTCTTTTCACGCCACGATCTTCAACTACTTTGGGTAAAGCAGTCCTCTAAAAAGAAAAGGAATTTTAATGATCAACATAAAAAAAAAAAATCTTTTATTATAGTCTTGTAATTCTAAAAGAGGAGCTACTATTTTTAAAAAAAAGCATAAAATGAAAAGAAAAGCACATTTCAAAGTAATCCCCCAGAGAAGCTCTGGGTACCATTAAGATGTCACAGGCTGAGGCCCAGCGCAGTGGCCAGGCCTGTAACCCCAGCACTTTGGGAGGCTGAGGTGGGAGGATCGCTGAGAGCCCAGGAGTTCAAGTGTGCAGTAAGCTATGATTGCGCCACTGCACTCCAGCTGTGGATGGCAGAAGGAGACCGTCTGTAAAAATACTACTACTGCTGCTGCTAATAATAATAAAAAGTCACAAACTGCAGCCAGTCTCTCATCACCATGGGAACCAGCCCCAGGCTGCCAGCCCTATTTCCTGCACCCTCCAGGCCTAGGCTGAAGCCCCAGTGGCATAGCTGGGTGAGGGGCTGACCGCATCTCTCCCTGGCTCAAGAATTGCTGCAGAGAACTCCTTGCAAACAAAGCAAAACCATGGTTATTTATGGGATGGTAATAAAGGAAGATTTCTGCCTTTTATTATACAAACATCTATTGTTTGTGGCTTTGGGTTTTGATCTTACTGAGAAGGGCCATTCCTGCTCAAAGATTATTTTAAAAAATATCCTCCCATTTTTCGCTTAGTACTTTTATGTTTTCATTTTAGATATTTAAATATTTGCTCTATCTAGATGTTAACTTATGAGGAATGAGGTAAGAGTCTAACTTTATACTTTTCCAGGTGGTTATCCACTTATTTCTGTATATAATTTTGGAAGAAACTATCTTTCACTATCCAAAATCTTCTATGTTTTTGAGTTCATTTGTGTTTATTTAATATGTTTGAGTGTCTGGTTGGTTAACCCTCTCTTACTACTCTTCTTTTTCAGAATTATCCTCATAATGTCAAAAAATTTTAAATATGTGCGTAGGCGGGCGCTGTGGCTCACGCCTGTAATCCTAGCTCTTGGGAGGCCGAGCGGGCGGATTGCTCAAGGTCAGGAGTTCAAAACCAGCCTGAGCAAGAGCGAGACCCGTCTCTACTATAAATAGAAAGAAATTATTGCAATGATATATATATATAAAAAAATTAGCCGGGCATGGTGGCCCATGCTGTAGTCCCAGCTACTTGGGAGGCTGAGGCAGAGGATCACTCGAGCCAGGAGTTTTGAGGTTGCTGTGAGCTAGGCTGACGCCACGGCACTCACTCTAGCCTGGAAACAAAGCGAGACTCTGTCTCAAAAAAAAAAAAAAAAATAAAAAAATGTGCTGTAGAATCAGTTTTTATTTAAAAAATCTTAATAGTACTTTTATTATGAATACACACTAATTTATAGATTAGTCTATAAATTAGATTTATCACACTAAATTTATAGATTAGTTCAAGGAAAATTAGTATCCTTCTGGTTGATGCAATTTGTATTTTGGGTCCTTTAACAGCAGTTTAAAGTTATTTATTTATTTATTTATTTTGAGACAGAGTCTCGATTTTTTGCCCAGGCTAGAGTGAGTGCCATGGTGTCAGCCTAGCTCACAGCAACCTCAAACTCCTGGCTCTAGCAATCTCTGCCTCAGCTCCCGATGTAGCTGGGACTACAGGCATGTGCCACCATGCCTGGCTAATTTTTTCTATATATATTAGTTGGTCAATAATTTCTTTCTCTTTATAGCAGAGACGGGGTCTCACTCTTGCTCAGGCTGGTTTCAAACTCCTGACCTTGAGCAATCCGCCAGCCTCGGCCTCCCAGAGCGCTAGGATTACAGGCGTGAGCCACCATGCCCAGCCTAAAGTTTTTTCCAGATGGATCTTATTACAGATTTCCTTTTAAGTACTTAAAGTATCTAATTTAATCATATTTTCCCCTGTCCCTATGACCTCAGTTTCAGCTCTAAGCAGAAAATTAGAGTTATGTTTTGAATAAAAACTCACACTGTCAGGGAACTCTAATTTCTAGACGTTTTGCTTTTAAGTATTGGGCTGTCCCTAGATTAGACACACATGGAAGAGTCATGAACACAGAATCACTTTTCTTCACATGATACAGTCTTCAAGAAGCTATTCACACTCATGTACTGCACATTAAAAAATAAATACATAATTTAAATTACATACTTAAAGTATGTAATTAGTAGGTAATTTTCTCCAGAACGCAACAAGCTGGCATAGATATATTATATATATTATTTTTTTGAGACAGAGTCTCACCTTGTGTGCCCAGGCTAGAGTGGTGCCATGGTGACAAAAACTATACTCAAATCTCCTGGGCTCAGCGACCCTAACTGTCACAGCCTCCCCGAGTAGCTGGGACTACAGGCATGCGCCACCATGCCCGGCTAATTTTTGTATATATAATTTTTTGGTCAATTAATTTCTTTCTATATTTTGGTAGAGACGGGTCTCGCTCAAGGCGGTTCGAACTCCTGAACCTTGAGAAATCCGCCCGCCTCGGCCTCCTAAAGTGCTAGGATTAAACGGCCCGGCCAAGCCTGCTGATTTTAACTGAAAAAAACTCGTATAATACAGAAAAAAGTAGGAAAAAAAAAGTAGAACACTTCACGTTTGTGAGGCTGAAAATTCTGGAGGATAAAGATGCTGC